TACAGCCAAGGCTACACAAAGAAATTCTGTCTAGAAAAACCAAAGGGAAGGGGGTGTTGAAATCATTTAAATACAGAATTAAATAGTGGTCAGCAAATCCTGGGAAAGAAACAAAGAATGGTTAACTGCACAGGGTTTTACTACATAGGAAAAAATATCTTGTAATGTTTCTAGCACAATAGAATAACTATGGTTGACAGCAATGAATTTAATATTTCAAAACAGCTGCTAAAATTTAATGTTCCCATCCCAGAAACATCTATTGAGGTGACACATATTCCAATTAACTCTATTTTACACATTATATTTGTGTATTGATATATCATGCTGTACCCTGTGAACAAATAATTACAATGTATGTATTAAAATGAGTACATATTTTTTTAAATTTATGGAAGAGTTTTCCAAGTTCAAATTCTTTCCACCACAAATTGATATATTGCTTATTTGACTCAACTATGTTTTACTTAATGGTTGCAGAAACCCTGAAAACCTACCACTGTCTCTTCTTTAGTCAGTTTTAATCAGTTTTCTGGATCGGTTTTCTGTTTCCTAGGAACTGGTTTCTATTAGTTTGCAGACTGCCTGTAGCACCTCCACTATCTGATACCCATCCCACTGCCTCTCCTTTCCATGTCGCTGGTGTGCAACTACATAGCCAACAAGATAACAGCACCACAGAAAGGCTCAAATGGTGCTTCGTACAGCCTGCATCAGGCAAGACAGGAAATAGAAAGCCCAAACGACAAGCGCTCTGATGGAAACCAGGCCACAGAGTCCCAGAGTCATACATCACTGCACCTCAGCTTGCCTTTGTCACAGAACCTCGGAACAGAGCAGGCTTCCCAAACAAATGCCCAAGAACATCTTGACTTAGCTTGGTTCATTTCCACTCCCTGCTCAACCATCTCCCTGTCCCGGTGGCGAGCTTCTTTCGGTATCTCACACATTCCTCATTCTTTCTTACTGCCAAATCTCAGCACACATTGTTCCCTGTTCCTGCATCGCTCTTCCCAGCCAGCCCACTCACTTCTGGGTAAGTCTTGGCTGTCCTTCTTCTCACAAGTTACTCATTATAGAAACTGTCCCTAACAGGGGATGCCAGGGGCTCCGAGTCTCTCTCGGGTTACTCTCTATCTACTTAATTAGCGATAGTCTCTCTCGCCATCTTCACCTGTGTGAGACTGTCTACTTATCTTCGACATCAGTAAAGTTTGATCACTGACACATTGGATGTTTCTGGAGTAAATAAATATCTAAATTCTTAAAGAGCTCAAACCACACCCCTCAGCTGAAATCTAATTCTCTGCTCTTCAAATTGACCCTCAACAGTTGAGGGAGGATTTGGGAGCATCAGGTGTGGGGTTGCGGTGAGAGGCTTCTCAGTGAAATGCTTGTCCGGGTCCTTGAGGCTGAAATCATTTCTTTAATTACTAGGAACAGCTGGTGCCTGGGCATAGGCAGATCTAGAGGAGTGTTCCACTACCTACTTTTCCTATCCCTTCACATGAAGACACATGTTGTAACCAAGGGGAACCTGCAAGTCCACGGCAATGAAATCCCATGTGGGTGACCCACATGTATCTTGAGAGTGTGGTCTCAGCCTGGCGGTGGTGGTCAAGCTTTGATCCCTGCACTCAGGAAGCAGAGGCAGGTCTACGTCAGTGAGTTCAAGGTCAGCCTGGTCTACAAAGCAAGTCCCAGGACAGGCTCCAAAGCTACACAGAGAAACCCTGTCTCAAAATCCGCATGGAAAAGGTGTGGTCTCAACACTGTCGCCATCTTGTTACATGTTCCCATGATCCTGTGCGCTGAATTAATGATTTGCAGAACAAGTCTCCATCTCTACAGGACTTTCTGACCTGTGCGTTTAGTGGAGCAATCCAGCATGGGGAGGGATCAGCTATCTGAATAAGAAAAATAAATAAATAGGAAAAAAAATTAAGATGGAAAGATCACCAGCTGGTAAAGTGAATTCTCTGGCGGATTGTCATCAAGACTGTCTAATTCCATAGTTATTTCACTTTTTCAATCCCGGATTCCATCCAACAGAAAGTCACTTTTAATTTTGGAAGTGTTATAAGAAAAGAGTAGAAGAGGAAAGAGGAGTGGGAAGAAAGATAGGACAAGATTATTGTGGACTAGAATAAGAAAGGCCACAGGGAGGTGATGGCACATGCCTTTAATCTCAGCACTCGGGCATAAAGGCAAACTGATATCTACTTGTGAGATTAGTCCTGTTTATAGAACTAGTTACAGGACAACCAGTGCTACACAGTTAAGTCCTCTCTTATCCCCCACCCCAAAGGATAATATATAAATATTTTAATGTAAAGTTTCCAATGAAATTAAAAGCAAAACTGACAAGATTTGTTCTAAAAAAACTGTGAATTAATATATATATTACATATATATGTATATACATGTATACATACGTATACATATGTATATATATTAAATCTAAATGTGTATTTGGTAATTATATTAAACCATTATGTAACTTTGGAGATAGGAGATCTCACTGTGTAGAACAAATTGGCCTGGAATTCCTAAAATAAAAACAAAAAGCATTTATTTGTGTGTGTGTGTGTGTGTGTGTTATATACTGCTCTATTGCTGTGAAGAGACACCATGACAAAGGCAGCTGCTATAAAGAAAGCATTATCTAATTGGGGCTTGATCACAGTTTTAGAAGGTAGTCTGTGATCATTGATCATTATGGCAGGAAACAGAAAGACATGGCACTTGAGCACAAGCTGAGAGCTTTATAGCCTGGTCTGCACGCAGAGGGAGAGATATTTTTAAAGCCTTAAAGCCCACCGCCCAGTCTGGAAGACTGACCTCTTCCAGAAAGGCCACGACTCATGTTTCCCAAACAGTTCCACCTACAGGACCAGACTTTCAAACATAGGAACCTAGGGAAGCCACTTTCATTCAACCCACCTCTGTGTGTGTGTGTGTGTGTGTGTGTGTGTGTGTGTGTGTGTGTGTGTGTGTGTGCATGCCTGTGAAGACAGAGGATAGCCTGCAGGGATTAATTCTCCTCTTCTACCAAACTCAGGTCATCAGGCTGGGCGGCTAAGGCTTTTTCTCTGAGCCATCTCACAGGCTCAAAATCTTAAATAGACTACAAAATCAGCACAGACTACATGGTAAGACTCTCTCCAAATAATAAGTAAATAAAATCCTACATAGAAATAACTATGAATGTTGACTGTTGTCTTGGTTAGACTAGGAAGTACCTGGGGTGACACAGTGCACTCTGGTGTGTCTGTGAGGGAGTTTCCAGAGATTGGTTAACTAAGGGAGTGATGCTATTCCTGAATATGGTTGGCACCTTTTCATAAACTGGGGACTAGCAGGAATAAGGAAACCACACAAGCACATGGTTCACAAACATACATGCAAGCAAAACTCCTAAACATATAAAAGGAATAATAAATATTTAAAAAGGAAAAAGAAATCCTGTTCTTGAGAGGAAATAAAAACCATGGTATTGCTATATATTATAATTTGGACTAGAATTTGTAACTCTCAACATCCTGAGAGCTGGGACTATTGGTATGCATTGTCATACTCAGCTTTTACCAACTATTTCCCAGGTTAGAATCAAAGCTATACATTATAGTTTTATATTTTAGCCTTCATATCTATTAATTCAGATTTCAACTATTGAAAAATTTGGCTATGAAATGTCTATTCTGTACTGACTTACTTGGGAATATGAAACCTTTGAAGATGTGTTTTTATTTTCATGTGTTCTAGTTTTCTTTCTGTTGGTGTTGTAAGAACACTCCAGCCAAAAGTATCCTAGGGAGGAAAGGCCTTATTTGTCTTATGCTTCCAGATTAGAATCAGGGCAGGAACTTAAGGACCTTGAAGACACGTTGCTTTCTGCCTCTCTGTAGCTACTTTAGCAGCTCATGATCAGCTAGCTCTCTATAGGCCAGGCCCACCTTCCTAGGGATGGTGCTGACCATAGAAGACTGGACCCTCCCACATCAATCAAGATAGTCATCATGAACAAAGCTGCAGGCCATTCTGATCTGGGTAATCCCTCAGAAGGCTGCATCAGGCTGAGAACAGAAGCCAACTGGAACAGTGTTTGTGTTTAAGCATATGGGCTCCCTGGAGGCCAAAGAAAGGCCACACCACAATTCAGGATGGGAATGCTCTGTGAATAGATTGAGCAGATTGCTGTCATATCTGTTGTAGAATGTTGGTCCAGCATGCACAAGTTTCTAGGTTTGATTCCCCAATACTGAGAAGAGAAAGAATGGGATGCTGATGGGAATGCACCAAGTTATTCAAGCATCTTTACAACCATCTCAAGCAGTAGGAGTTGCTTCCCTCCCAAAGTTTTATACATTCCACAGGCATGAAAGTGAAAGGTGGAGATGAAAAAGAGAATTTACAGGTAGCATCATAGCCAAACAGCACAGCACCATTTTATGTCCTATCCCAAGGGACTGCAAAGAAGTAAAAGACAAATTCACACACATACACACAAGCACACATGGGAACACACGGGAGGCAGATATGAAACAAAAGTCTGAAATGAACCTGGCCAAGCATAGTGTGGTGGTTCATATCTGTGTTTCAGCAGTTGGAAGGCTGAGGCAAGAGTATTGCTAGTGAGATCAACCTGGGCCACATAGTAAAATCCTCCAAAGACATGGCTAGTCAGTCATGGTCAGTTATCCCTTTAATCCCAGCACTTGGAAAGCTGAAGCAGGATTAAAAATTCAAGGTCAGCCTAAGATAGACAGAGCCTGTATGAAAAGAACAGAAACAAAAACTAAGGACAGGGATGCAGTCAGTAGTCTTTGCCTAGAAGGTATATCCTTACGTGTGTATGGAAAGCCGTCTAAGCCCAGCAAGCTGCCTCAGCACCCTCCCAGTTCAATGAACTTCCCACTATGGAATAGCCACCAAGGGCACACTGCAAACACCAGCAAAGTTGAGCAAGTAAAAAAAAAAAAAAAAAAAGGAATCATTCCTTTATTGTAAAATTTCCTTTAATGATTTCTGTGCTTTTCCTTATAAGAATAAAACATGACAGTTAATCGTTACAACTAAAAACCAGAGAACTGAACAAAAATCATATTTATTTCAACAGCTCTGGGTACAGATAGAAGCCAGTTCACAAAACTCAAGACACAATTTCAATGAACGCTTTGACACACAAAAACTCGGGGTTGACAGCAGAAATGAGCTCTTTAGTTTAAAAACACCAAGAATTTGAAAATCTTTAGACTATAATATTCTATATACATTATGTAAGAAATAAGATAATTTACAAGATGCCAATAAAGTTACTACAGTCCTTCACAGAAAGAATAGTCCTAAACTGGTCAGCCCCAGACCAGAGTGGGGTTAAGTCACTCACTCTGTCAGCAAATATATTCAATTCACTATATTTTCACTTCTAAAAAACACTATGTCTAAAGTCAACTAGAAGGCAAACATTATTGTTGAGAAAGTTTTGAACTGACCAGTGTATGCAAAAGGTTTAAAAGGCAATGTCAACTTCAGCTTCAGGTGGCGTGAAGTGATAAATTGTACATTAATATTTCTTCCAATACCTGGAACCTTTTGGCGAGGTTAGCAATATGGCCTGTAAAGCCTCCTCATGAAAACTGTACTTAAATATATATATTTATTCATTTCCACATATACAGAATTTGAATGTAAAGTAGAAAAGTTCCCATCTGGGAGATAATTAAAGGTCATTAATGTACTTCTTGTCACTTAGCAGCTAAGTCCGTGCTTATTTCTGCTCCCCGGAAGCAATGTTAGTTACTATCTCCAGGTGAGGAAACATATCTTCACGAGGTGAATGAGGGACATTCATTCGGTCTTTTTCCCAAGCCTCTTCATCTTTTCATTGTATGCATGATACTGGGCATCCGTCCCAAAGATTCTATCCCACCATGTGAAGGTGGATGCGTAATTCCCAATGAAGTTCATGTGGTGGAAATCGTGGTGCCGAGAACCCGTATAAAAGGGGATGAAGTTGAGTGGGTTGATAGGAATGTAATAACCACTGAAATGAAAACGATGCAGGTTATTCAAAAGACACGGCATTAACAGTCACAGCTCGATAGCAGGTAACATTCCACTTTGCCCAAAACCTTCACTGCTCACATGACACCAAAGACCCAGTTCTTGGGAGGCTGAGCAGGACTACTTGCAGGACATGGCCACCCTGGGCTACAGAGTGGAAAACAACAATACAACCTTACAGGAAAAGGTACGTTAGGAAATTTCGAAAACTTTTAAAGATACATGGCAACCTGGCAGCAAGAAATGAAAGAAAGGGACTACAGTAATAGAGCAGACACACATTTTCAAAAAACACTACTTTATCTTTAGAGGAGCCTGCCCACCACAATCTAGAAAAGGTAAAAACCAAGTTCGTAACATTACTTATGTTTTTAAGGAAAAGTTGTGTGAAATTAGCATCAAGTATTTAAAAAGTTAAAACACCATTGTGCTGTTTTAGTTGGGGATCAAATGACTTCAAAGAGTCTTGTCTGGTCTATTCTCTTTAATTTGGTATCTGAGATTAGACATAACTCCATGTCACATCTCCAGTCTGGAAAGGTAGCATCTGAAACCCGTATAAGTGCTTTCCTCAGAGCTACCCAGAGACCAGCAGTGACCTTACACAGCAGATGCTACAGGTTCCAACATCCTCTGAAGATAGTGGCCCACTATAGCAGTATTAAGTGCTGGCCTTGAGCACTTTCCTTGACAAGACACATGTTATCATTTAATAAATGGTAACAAATCAGTCTATACAAAAACATCTATTATTTGAACTTTTATTCAATGATATGATTCTCTCTTTAAAAATAGCATGAGAGATGGCTTGTGGTTCAGGTGCATGTCAGGCAAGCTTGTCAGGAGTTCAAATCTCCAGAAACTCACATAAAAGCTTGGTGGCCTGCCTATAATTTAAGTCTCAAGAGGCAGGGGTGGGATATATTCACAGAAGAAAGCTTGATGACAAGATTTGAGAGTTCTAGGATTGACAGAGAAAAACTGCCTCGTAAGGATGATCACACATACCCCCACACACATAAAAGAAACACACAAAAGCAATGACATTTACATACACCTCCACACATACAAAAACACACACCCTACACACCAACACACATGAGAAATATTGTCTTCTACTTGAACAGAAAGCATTACTTACCTATGGACATCGATGGTTTCTAGCAAACGTATAGTCACCCATGCCCAAAGAAGAATTACATGATCACACAAAAGCACAATTCCAATGAAAAATCCAGTCCCGAGAATTATGGTCTCTAAAGGATGTGCATATTCTGCTTCGATTCCGAATGGAGCCTAAATCAAAAATAGTAAGAATTCCTTAATATATTGTGGTGGTTAATTTTGGTCAACTTGCTGTGATATGGTTAATGTCTGAACCAGCCAATTTTATTCTTCATGAAAGTGGGTCCCATCTCGACAATGAGAGGCCTTCCAAGCAAGGACGGGGCTTCCCAAGGAAGAAGGCATTCACATGACAACTACAGACACCATACCTCCTCACTTTCGGGCTTGTTGCTCTGAAAATTTGGGCCTCTGACAGCAAAATCGTTTTTTTCTTTTTTGAGGCAGGATCTATGTAGCTGAAGTTGGCCTTGAACTCATAGAACCCCTGTTTCTGCCTAAGTATTGAGACTACAGGTATATACCACCAGATTTTAAATAAACCTATGTGCACAGTAGCTTTGTGTTGACTCTTTCTCTACAGAATTGTTGCAGAGTATTTGTTTACATTATGTGAAGATGTGTCTCAGCAATTGGTTTAATAAAGAAGTGAATTGCCAATAGATATGCAGGAGACATAGGGAGAATTTCTAGAGAGAGAAGAAGAGGAGGAGGAATATAGACTCACAAATTATACCGTGAGAAGTCAACAATAAATGGAGGATGTCAGACATAGAGAATGAAAGAAAGGCAAAAAGCCACATGGTAAAAAGTAGATTAACAGAAGCAAGTTATAAGTTACAAAAGCTGTTAAAAGCCTAAGCTAAGGCCAAGCTCTCATGTCATTATTTGTGAGCTGGAGACTTAAAGAAAAATCTAACTACAGAAAACCTAATGTGTTCAATTTATACATAGTTTTATAAAATTATATTGTTTATATAAGTAGTGATGGTGATCCAGCCATACATATATAAATAACAGTTCTCAGTAAATTTCTTCTCAATCAAAAGGTCTAGGGATATGAATTTCTTAGTAGTCATCTTTTATGTAACTTCACCTTCAACTGAACATTTATTTTCCTGTTTGTGAGTTCTGAGCACAGAGTTCGGAGGACAACCCTAAGGAGTAAGTTCTCGCCTAAACTTGCAGCATCCAGTGACCAAACTAGGCCTTTAACTCTTAATTTTTAATTTATGACTTTGTAGTTACTCTACCAATAAAGAAATGCTTACTCATGGTTTTGTTTTCTGATGTCACATTTACCCTACATTTACGTATATTAACTAAAGTATTGAGTGGAAAACCTCAAGAAATAATGTTTTAAATTGTGTATTATTCTGAGTAATGTAACATCTGTCTCAGACCTTCCAATGGGAATCACTCTTTTGTCCAGTGTTTATATCCTGAATACATTCTCTGTCCAGTAGTTATTTTAGCTGTCTTAGATATCAGTGTGGTATCTTATCCATGTTCTCAGGTATCTACTGAGACCTATATAAAAGCAGGTCTGAGTTAAAAATAAATAATTTGCTCTGGAAATATAATTCAATTGATTAATGTCTTTAGTTTAAATTATCATTTATGTATCTCATTTAAATAATCCTTGGATTACTATGGCCAGTACCACTCTGGCAGCTGTGTCAGGATGTCCACCAGTAGGGTAAGAATATGAACTATTATGTGTAATAATCTTTAAAGTCTCAATTACAGTGAGCCATAAATTTAAAAATGCGTATGTATTTATTTATCTTTAATTACATGTAGTGTGCCTGTGGACATGAGTGCAGGTGCTTGTGTTTATAAGAGCAGATGTGCTCTTAACCACTGAGCCATCTCTCCAGTTCCCATCATGAAGATCTGACACTGAAGAAAATTTTTAGGCCAGGTTCTGCATAATATGTGTATATTGTATTCTTTATGATCATGCCAGTAGAAAGGGAAATAAAGGGCCCAAGTTTGGAGGGTAAAGCTGCTCACTTTACAAGCCTGCTGAGTCGATTCTGATTTCTAGAGCCCACATCAAAAGGTACAAGGGGAGAAGGCTGGGGAGATGGGTTGGTGCCTAAAAGCATTTGCTGCTCCTACAAGAGGACACAGATTCCATTCCCTGCACCCATACTAGTTAGTTTCAACTACCTGTAGTACCATTTCCAAGAGTCCAACACCTTGTTCTGGCTCTGAGGGCATCTGCATGCATGGGGTGAACACTCATACACTCAGGTACACACAGTCACAGATTAAAAAAAAATTCAAGGTAGGAGAGAGTTGACTCTACAAAGTTGTCTTCTGAGCCTACATGTGTCCTACCTGCCATATCATGTACACACACACACATTCATTTTCATTATTATAAAAGGACAGGAGTTAAAATATCACTGATTGCTTCTAAAATGCCCAAACAACAAACCAGTCTTTTCCACTTACTTCAATAGGAAAAGCTAAAGTATGATTCTAACATACCTGAAACTCATGATGGATTTTATGAATGTATTTATAGATCCTCTTGTGGTGAAGGAGTCTGTGCAGGAAATAGTGCCAGGTGTCCTCAATGACTGCACAGCCCAAGCACCTTGCCAAAATCATAAACCTGTGATAGGCAAACAGTAATGAATGCAGAGTAACCATGACTTAGGAAGACCGATCAGACATTAGATAACCAAATACCTAGACATCAGCTGGACCTCACAACATTCTCCAAGCTGCAAGATAGCTGAGCTGGGTGTGGTGGTCTACACTTTTAATTCCAGCACTCAGGAGGCGGAGACAGGGAGATTTCTGAGTTTGAGGCCAATCTGGTCTACAGAGTGAGCTCCAAGCAAGCCATGGATACACAGAGAGACTTATGTAGAAACAAAATACTGGTAGGTAACCTACATGCTACAGTCTGAACAAGGGGTGTGTGTGTGTGTATGTAAAGAATTTGACCCTATTTCCTTAATATTTTATGTTGCCCAAGATCAGGTGTTAAGAAACCAAAGTCTAAAGTTAATGGTAAAGCAATCTTTTTTCTACCTTAGATATACTTAATTTAAATAAAATGATGAAAAATAATTTTTATACAAGTGTGCTCTGGCCTCTTAAGCAGGGTATAGACTAGCTATGTAGCCCAGGAAGGTGCTGGAGCTTCACTTCAGGCCACCTCCCTCACCTCCGGAGTTGGGACCACAGGTGTGTGCCACTGCATACTGTTTAAAGGGTTCCATTCACAAAGTGGACTTTGAATCTGTAGTTGGTTGGCTACAGGGACATAGAACCCACAGACAAGGAGTGACTATGGGCCTAGGTTCTGGTACATGTATGTCCAGTTACTTAACATAGTAAGTTTCAGAGTATTAACCAACCTAAAGAGGATAAGCATAGCAAAATTTAATTGAAAAATAAACCATGAATGAATATAAACATCAATGTCACTGACATACCATCTCGGCATTCTTTCCCAATCATAAGGAATACTGAAATATTCTGTAAAATAGTAAGTTCCACAAATCATAGGCAGCTGGATAAAAAAATGATTAAAGAGAAGTCCTTTCAAACACTTCCACTGGCCTTCCAAGGTTTCTGGTTTATCCTAAGAAGAGAGAGAAAAAAAAAATCACAATATTTAAAACAAGTCTATTGTCAGTTCAGCTGAACAAGCAGAGATAAGCTCTTAAAATTTTCTCGAACGTGTTAATCCCTCAGTCCTAGGCTATGTTCAGTATATGTTACAGTGGCAAGGAATCCTGACAACTACTATAATTACTTTCAACAAGTTTTTAAAAACGTTAATAGACAAATATGATGACAATGGTCTAAAACTAACCTAAGAAGCACCAAGAGATGAATAACTAACTATCCAGGCTTTGCTGTCTACAGGACACTTTTCAAAGAAGTGAATTATGTAAAGTTTATATTATGTGCTCCACCCAAAGCCTGCACAAGCAGCAGTACAATGGCAACTGACTGCATTCAGGTATTCAGTGGTGTTCATACAGAAATAAGCCCCTTCTGCATGGACATGATGAGAGAGCTATGAGTTATTCTTACAATCCCAGGACCTCCTGACATGTGTGCTCTGGTGAGTATATGTACACACACAAAATACAAAAATAAAATATATATGAAAATGACAAAAATTAATCCTATTCAAAGACTCAACCTATAGCCTTGGACTAGAATGCTGAACTAACTACTAACCAGCTAATCAGCTATGCGCTCACAGTGAAATCAGTCTCCTCACCAATAACAAGTAGGCTAAACAGAGTAATTAAGACTGCCTTTGTGTTTCTACGCTAAGGATTCTTCCACCCCCCCTCAAACCTCTTATCTACGACCAAACACTATGACCAAAGCCTGAACTGTCAGTCTTATTTGAGAAGGTGCTTCTAGCTCCTGGCTAGACTCTGATTCTTGAGCTTAGAATCCCAGCACTCAGGAGGCAGAAGGATCTCTGTGAATTTGAGATTTGAGGTCAGCCAAGTCTACAGATTGAGTTCTAGGACAGCCAAGGCTACACACAGAAACTCCACCCAAAAAAATAAATAAATAAATAAATAAATAAATAAATAAATAAATAAAATAAAAATAAAAACACAAAGCTTAGTGGGTGGAATAAGAATAGTAGAAAATGTCACCTATCATGTGTGAGGCCCTGGGCTTCCTTAGTGTGGACACCTGCCCTGGGTGTGTGTGTGAGAGAAACAAAATAATCAACTACTATTATAAGGAATAAAACCATAGGCTGTGTTGTTCATATGGTATGTACAAGCTGGCTAAGAAGACATTTAAATGTATGTCTAGTACAATACCAAAGCTTACCACTTTTTACTTAATATGCTTATCTGTACCCCTGTACAAAAGGGTACCGACACTGGGGCCATGAACTTAGCTGATGCTTTAGTTAGATCTCTCTTTGAGAACTTATCAAAATGTGTTTTTTTTTTTTTTAAAAAAGAAACAATCCCTGCAGCCTGCTTTACTTGTCATGCATGTAAAGCTTCCTCTAACTAGCAAGCACACAGATTACCAGGTAGTCTCTTGAAAGTTGAAAGTTCTCAGTACTGTGTAATCATCACAGCACTCCTAGGTTTTTTGTGTATGAGAGTTTTACCGGCATATACATACATCTTTGTACCATATGTGCACCTGTGCCCCTGGAGGGCAGAAGAGGGCACTGAACTCCTGGAACTGGAGTTACAGACGTTTGTGAGCAGCACATGTGTGCTGAGAACCAAATTTAGGCCTTCTGGAAAAGCAGCCAGTGTTCTTAACCACTGATCCATGTTCCCAGCCCCTAGCCTCCTCCCCTATTTTTGGTAAGCAGGGAGGTGTGCAATATTCTTTTGAGTCAAGGTCTCACATATCTTACGGTGGCCTCAAACATCCTAAGTAGCAAAGAATAAACTTGAACCTGATCCTCCTGCCTCCACCCAAGCACTTAGATTACATCTGTTGAGAACATCCCTGGGAGGCCTGCTCTTTTCTGAAGGGAAAAGGAGGATCGGTGGTGTATGGAAAAAAAAAGAGGTTGGGGGGGTGGCTTTCGGGGGGGGGTACAGTGAGTATAGGTCAGAAGAATGAAGAAAGTGGGGGTAGTCCAAAAATGTTCAATGTGTTAAATAATACAATTCTTGAATATTTTACGGTGACTTTCTAAGGCACTGATCAAAAGACATGAATTGGTCTGCATTCGTTTCAAACACAGTATGTGCTTTCAGAATTCATAACTAGAACCAACCTCCATGATTTTATTTTTCATTTGATTAATTGTGCTGTGGGGGTGGGAGGGTAGAGCCTTGCTGCCTTTCTTCTTTTTGTTTTGCTCTATTTTATACTGTTGTTGTTATTTATACGAGATCTTACTCAGTAGCCCTGACTGGCCAAAATGTACTACATAGGCCAGGCTGCCCTCAAATTCATAGAGATCCACTTGCCTCTCTATCAGGCTCCAGGGTCTTGCCCAGGATAGACAAACACTCTTCTACTGAGCTTCAACTCCAGGTTTTGTTTTCTTCTCAGCCCCTTTATGCTGTGACGACTTGCAGCCATTCTATCCAGCCTTTCATTAGTTGTACCTAATTAGATTGTGGGTTTTGTTCCTCCTGTGTGAGTTTGCACTGACTTCAAGCCACACTTTTGTGCACTCAAGGAAAGCCCTCCAACACTGACTACATCCTCAGCCCTACTTAGGCTTTTTCCTCCCACATTTCCTTCTACGGCAGCCCATACACTCTGGGTAGAGAAGCTCTCCTCTGGGCAGGACACCACCACCTATAACAAGCAGTCAGCAGTAGAGGGCAGTGGAGGAAGAAAGCATGCTTCAGCTTGCTGGCCACCGGATGAATCAGCTTCACTTACAAATGAATCAGTGGATGACACACAGTGGCCAGAGTCACCTCAGTGACTCAGAATTTAAGACATTTACACAGAGCTATTTTCCAGCTCAGGCCCTTTCATCAGAAGCACCTGGGATGTGTTTCAACTAACTGAGGCCGACAGGGCATTCTCTAGATTACCTCCTTCTTTGTTCCCTTCCCCTGTTCTCTTCTCTCTTCTTGGCCTAGAGTCCATAGGTACCTGATGCCTATGTTAGCTGCCAAGGAACCTATGAGTCCTTCCTTACAGTGACTCAAGAGATTGAGGAGATGTAACCGGCACACCCAACAAACCAGATGAACATTAAGCATCTATTTTTTGTCACTAATGTGTGCCCTTGAGTTTAGTTGGTTTAAGATTTGCCAATGGTGGCATAAAGACAAGACAAAACAAACAAACAAAAAATCCTTTGGAGGTAGAGATGATCCATGCCTATCTGCACTCGGGAAATGAAAGTAAAAAGATCCCAAGTTCAAGGTCAGCCTGGGTAAACACATGATATTACCTCAAAATAAAAAGAATTAATTTTGGTGTATTAAATGTTGACAAGTCCTTTCTGTCTCTACACTTTTCCAAATTCTCTCAAAAAACACACTAAGAAAATAGCCTACATATTAATAAGAGTTCATTCTGCCACCTTTGTTTAAAACCAAGACAAAGTACAGTCGCATCTTGCTATGTACACAGTGGGCTTGCAAGACGCATCTAATACACTGAAACAAATACCTATATAAGGCACATCACCTCTGTGTTTGGGACCATAAGAAAGCTGACCTACCTATCATGTATGTATGGGATCTTTCCATATTAACATTCAACTAGATTTGCTGAGGCTATAGGAGTGGGAAGAACAGCAAAGTGGCCACAAATATCATACACCTGTTCTACCCCTCCCCCCCCCAGATAGTTTCTATGTTTTTCAGGATGGGGTGGGAGGAGTATGGATGGAGTTTGAAAAGAATATGTGTACGGAGGATTAGACTCAGGGCCTTGAGCATGTTGAAATACACAGGCTACACCTTTCAGATAATTTAAAAGTTAAAATTTATAACCCCAATTAGATAACTGTCACACGACTCACTTTTACAGACAACTCTTTAAAACACCATCAATAATGATCTACATTTATTTTGTCTAACAGACCATCAACTAGCAGTCTGAGATTACTGAACACTTTCAAAAGTAGCATAAATACACAGTGAAACACACAACTACGAAAATAAAAACACCAGCTTGTCTTTCGAAGCAGTTTAGTTTGGGAAAGTTGGTAAAATAATAGCCTAGCTTTATTGGGTTGAATTAAATTATTATGGAAATTAACTTCCCTATTCTCATTTTTGAAAAATAACTGATATTCATAAGAATGTGCCTAATAAGATCAAAATTCTAAAGAGCTGTCTGAGTATTTTAGGTATGAAACTAACAAGTTTTGTTTTAGTACATTAAAAATAAAAGTTATACTTAGTAATAGGAAAGCATGTATGTGATATATACATTGTATAAGCTCTTCAAGCATTAATCTCTGCTAAAAATGTTCAAAATCATTTCTTCTAGCTTTCTGAGACATACAGTACACAATTACTATGTGTGATTACTCCACAATTAACAGTATTTTAGAATTTCCATTTTTTTGTAACTCAGATATAATGGAATAATTTCCCATTCATGAATTTTCCCCAAACCATAATAAACATGATTGTGAACATAAAAAAAAAAAAAAAATTCCCTATTCCCTTACTGACTTCTCAAGGTATTCCACTGGCCATTAAAACCATGTAAGTAACTTTATTATATTTCTGCTGGACGGCACTGATGAGAGGCTCTCAAAGCTCAATGTTCTTGAAAAATATCCAACAATGTCAATTACAGTATTTGATCACAAACATTGCACACTCACCTTCTGAATTTTGTACTTTCTCATGTAAGGTATAAATTGGAATAAAAAGCCAGGTAAAGAGAACAAGAAATAGATGGCTTCATGAACTATGAGGGACCCCCAGGTTGCGATCTGGAACTTTGTATAGTTATCCAACATGTAGCCCCAGGCATTCTTAAAGGGTTCCTGCAGAGGGTTCTCAGGCAGCAGAGAATCCACATACTCTACAGCAAGTGATGCTGAGCTGAAGATGTCCGAGCTTTCGTTTGTGGCCATTTTCAAATCTCTGTGAGGTGCCTTTGATTTCTGTAGTAAGTAAGCAAAGAAGCAAAACAATGAAATCCTGAAAAAGAGCATGAAATATCTTCTGATACTTCTCAGTGATAATTACTAAACAAGGACTAATTTCTTAGGTTATAAACAGGATTAAAAATAACCCACTGAATGCTATCATCATCTCCATTTGTAGACCCTGATTTAAAAACTCTATGCTCCTTTCTACAGTGATACCTGAAAGAACAGTGCAAAAGGAACTCTAAGCTAACTTTTGGCTGTCAGGATGGTTCAGTGCCCATTTGTCATACCATGTCAAACCCTGTAACCTAAGTAAAGATGGAAAGAGAGAAGTGACTCCCCACTTCTACACAAAACTAGCTTCTGATTTACTCAGACAGACAGACAGACAGACAGACAGACACACACACACACACACACACACACACACACACACACACACACACACAAAAGTTAAAATCAAAAAGAAACCAAAAACGCTTGCCAAAAGTGACTAAGTAAGAGTTAAGTTCTGACAAGAACAAAATGGTGCTTGTAAACACAGCCAGGGATCAACTGTCAAAACTACAAAAAAGCATCAGAACACATGACAAACAGGGACACAGCATGCTTTAGAAAAAACCTGGTGGGGGGAGGTTAAAAAAAAAAGGCCATTCATAGGTAGTTCACAGAACAATAAAGCCAAATGGTACCCCCAAACCACATGGTTTAATTAGGGCCGGGGAGATGACTCAATCAGTGCAGTGCCTGCTGTATGAGCACAAGTACTGGGTTCATATTCCCAGCACCCCCATAAAAGCTAGGTACAGTGGTGGTATCTGTAACCTGGCACTCAAATAGAGGCACTCCAGGTTCAGTATCTGAAATAAGGTGGATAACAATGGAGGGAAACAGCCTTCACATGTTCATACTCAGGCAGGCATACCCACACAAACACATACCAAACACAAAGCAAGAAACTGCCTTCTTTCAAGGAGGAACTGTACCCCAAAGAAACACTTTTATCCAAGTGACAAAGCTTTTCAAGTTCAACAATACCCAAAGAGGCATTATCCACACTGTAGGCTTGGGAAAAATCAGCTTATCATTTGAAGAAAAAGGAAAAAAAAAAAGTCAGCAGTATTGATATAATCCAAAAATAACTCTTATCATTTAACTCATGAGAAGACAAACATGCTAAGCTAGAAAGAAGCACAGCTTCTAACTAGCCACAGATTTTATATATATATATATGTATATACATATACATATATATATATATTCAAGTCCCCAAGCAAGAGATGAGTTAAATAAATTCTATTAATTCCTTCCACAGGCAATAATACAGCTGTTCATAAGATGAGGAAGCCAGGCATGGTGGTTCACACAATCTCAGTGCTTGGGAACCCGAGGCAGAAACACAGCTGAGAGTTTAAGGTGAGTCTGAACTACACAAAAGACATCCTCAAGATTTCTCCAATAAAATAAAATAACAATGATAATGTAAACAACTACCTGATAAATGGCTCCCAGTATCAGAGTCCCTCTTTTGGACCTTCAGGCACCTGTAGTTACATGTGTGATATTATTCTCCCCAACTGTCCCCCATATACAGGTAATAAAAGTTACTAAAAACTTGTATTAAGCAATCCTATTTTGCGTAGGATGATAAAAATTTATATTAAGCAATCCCATTTTGTGTAGGATCATATATAAAATCTAGTCTTAACACCAAAGACACATTTATAGGATAACATGTATAGCAAGAGCCAAATATAGCTATGTAAAACTAAAGCCCCAGTAGTTGGTGTGATTGTGTGAGAGAGAAATCACCTATTTCCTGTATACACTTTTATTCACTTTCATTTCATGCATGTTTTCATAGTACACACACACACACACACACACACACAATGTACAGGACAAAACCATTTATACAGTGGTGGTCTGTGAAAAGAAACTTAAGAGAAAAAGCAAGGAGGAATACCGTTTCCCTATTATACTTTCTATACAATTTTAAATTCTTTTCTTACTTTTTCTTCTTTTCCAGACAGGGTATCTCTGGCTGTCCTGAAACTTGCTTTGTAGAACAAGCTGGCCTTGAACTCACAGAGATCCACCTGCCCCTATCTTCTGAGTACTAGGATTAAAGATATCACACCCAATTCAACTTTAATAATTTTAATTTCTTAACTGAGAATATAATGTACCTATTTAATTAATGTTAGCCTAATTGGTCACCAACCAAGCATAATGAACTTCATTGTGAATCTGACTTTTGTGAGGAAAAAAAGAAATCCCTGCTGTTCTTAATTTATAAATTGATAGACCATTCCATAAAAACCAAACCAAAACAGAAAACCTATTTTAGGGCTCAGTTGGTAAAATGCTGGCCTAGCATGCACAGAGCCTTCCATTTGTAGCATCCCGTAAACTGGGTAGTGACATGTATCCCAGCACTTTGGAGGCAGAGACAGGAGGTTCAGAAGTTCAAGCTGATTCTTGGCTACAACATCAACATATAACATGTTCAATGCCATAATTTTTGAGACATAATCTAAAAAAAAAAAAAAAAAAAAAAACCAAAAAGTATTTTTGTAGCCTTAGAGTTCACAAAAGGCACCATGACTTCTAAAATTGGCCTCTTATACTATTCTGTATAAGAGAGTATACCACATTCTTTCAGGCCTTCAAACTCAGTCAGTCCTTTCTGCCCCACCCCTTAGCCAATGGCTTACCCATCATGTACCTCATTCTTTCAAGTCTTTCTGTGTTCTTATCTCACCAAGGACATATCTCCTCTTTATCTTTTCTCATCTCAAATCTTTCATGGACATGAAACCCACTTTCCTCATCCTTATATATACATGGGACTGGAGACTGGGGTCAGCAGTTAAGAGCACTTACCGCTCTTTCAAAGGACCCAGGTTCAGTTTCCAGCATGGTAGCTCACAACCATCTGTAACTCCAGTTATAGGGAATTTGACACCAAGGGTACCATGAACCCACAGACACAGATGCAGGCAAAACACTCAACATACATAAATAATTTTAATTAATAATAATAAAATAAAAACATATTCACATCTCCCTTTCTAAAGAAAATTTCCCTACTCACAAGGATGATGAGTTCTAGGCCAGCCTGGTTCCAGTGAGATACTGTCTAGAAAGAGAAGAGAAGAGAAGAGAAGAGAGAAGGGGAGGGGAGCAGGACATGATAGAAGGGGTAAGGAGAAAAGAGGGGAGGAGGCAGAAAAGAATTCCCAGTCTCTATCATCTGTTCCAGGCCATTGCTATGCACTCTTCTCAAAAGACAATTTCCAGACAAACGTACCACCCTCACCCACCCACACTGGTCTCTTAGCACTGAGCTCCCCACCCACACTGGTCTCCATATTGCCAACCATCTATTACAGAGTTGCAAAAACACTAGATCATCATTCTAATCTCCATTTTTCCTGAGGTCATTACCAAATTTGCCAAAACCAATGAACACTACTTATGTCCTAAACTTGATAAATGATAAAACTCTGAACCACAATTTTATCATCTGAAAAAAACACACAACAATAACTCTTCTAGTAAACCCAACGTTCAATGCTGGACATAAGACCTGGCACACAGCACCTAAAATAAGCTGATAATATTGGGCACTTCTGCATGTCAGGTATGTGCCATCATTTCAAGCTGAACGCTGCCACACTATCATGATGTAGAGGTACGTTTATTATTGTTGGTTTTCAAATAATAAGCTGAGGTTTAGAATCAATAAGTAACCTGTCCAAAGTCATACAGACTCTTGAGTTGAGGAGCCCACATACTTTTAAACAATGGTCACCATAACGGTAAGCCTATAACTTACTCAGGCCTCCTGAAGAGGCTCAACTCACACTGACTTCGTTTTTTCTCACTTCCCATTACTTTCTATTCTCGTCACTGCATTCAACTTATTCTTTAAAAAAAAAAAAAAAAAAAAATCACTAAGCCTCCCTGCTGTCAAATCCAATACCTTTGGAAATTTCCTCCCTTCCTTCCTCCTTTCTTCCCTTCCTTCCACACGAGGGTTTTAGTTCAAGTTGGCCTTCAAATATGAAATAAGGATGGCCTTTGAACTCCTGATCCTTCTGCCACCACTGAGGACTGGGATTACAGGTGTTTGCCTATACAACTAACAACAATCTCAAAGATTTGACATTTCTCTACTTGACATATTTACTTGGCTCAAGAAATTTCACAGACTCCCTGTGACAAATATTTGTGTCTATGATTGCAGTCACTGTACTACCCCTGACTTCCTGGCCATCCCAAAGCATAACAAAATGATTTGACAAGTAGGATACCAGGGAAACTACAGAGAGCTAAGAGGACAGAGGAGAACAGAGTTGCTGGGCAAAAGCACTTTCTACATTGACATTGGACATGATGTAGAAGGGGCCCGATTACAAAAGAGCTGTGGTGGGGATAAAGGTGCTACAAGTAGAAGATGATTTAGCCTCTTGAGCCAGGCAGCCCGATGTTCCTCCTAACCAACACTGTCTTGGATAATTCTATTGCATGGTTTAAAAATATCCATTATCTATAACTCCTCTCCTGATCTAAGTTCTGATTATCCAAAAGGCCATCTCCATTCAAAGATAGTTTGGCTCTAGGTCAAAACTCCAGGCATCCTAAAGTTTATCAGTGCTTCTGCCCAAGCTTGCTTTAATGCCTAACTGGAGGAACTTCATCATCTCCAACTTAAGTGTTCCAGTCTCTCCCAACTCAACCCCCTCGATTAAGTCTTCAAGTCCCGCATAATGTTGAGGCAGAGTTCAGTAATCCCGAGTTTACACTCTGTAATGAAGGAAGGAAAATGGGCATGTAATTGTCAACTGAACAAAGCATCAGAGAAAGTAATTGAACTGAAGTGAATATCCTGCCTCCTTATCTTTGAACAACATGCTCGCCTGGAAACCCGATCTGAATCAGGTAGACTGGATCTTCGGGAGGAGAGTGGGGGGCAAAACAAGAAACAAAGAAACGTATTCGTAAGGTTCCTTGATTAACTCAAAGCCTGGCTGACACCCTGAGTCCCCTCTTTTGGCACTGCAGCTTAGAGAAGGCCTAAGGCCAGTGTCAGGCCCCACCTAAACAAGAGTGAAACTTTCACGGTTCGAGTGGGCAGCAACCTTACAGGTGAAGACTGGACCCGTCATCTATACATCCCTGTCTAACATGGAACCACACGCGGTTCCTGCATTCCATCCCTCGGTGCTGAATGTGGCCTCCTAACCAACTCCTACTCATCCGCTAGGTGCTTCTGAGACACCTTCCCAGACCACGAACTCAGAATGCACCTTACTCCCGCCCCCCCCCCCCGCCGCCACCGTGGGAACTGCGTTTTAGTAAAGTCTCAATGATCCAGACTCCGAATGACTGCAAACTCTTTAGAAGGCAGTATAAGTGTTGGCATTCCAGTTCCATCGCTTGAGGACCTCGCCTCCTTCCTGGAGTCTTGCACAGCCAGGTTCCTTCCCACCGCATCCTTACCGGCCCCGCCGCTCCAGTCCCGAGGGTCCCGATCTCAGCCGCCCTCCACGCGACCCCAGCCCCGGCTCGAAATGCTCCTTACCTGGCGACCCCCCGACTGACTGGTCTCGGCGATGTACCGGCCGGTGGTGCAGCGGCCTCCTCACTACTTCTCCCGGTTCAGGGGCGGGGCCCCGAGGGCGCGGCCAGTGCCTCCTACCATAATTGGTCCGCCCTGATTCCGCCCCGCCCTCACGATGCAGCGATTGGTCCGTCCCGAGACCCGGCAGCGTGTGACTCGAGTCGACGAATTCTGGCGGCGCCGGCCATTGGCTGCACGGATGGAGTGAGGATAGTGAGACCCGTGCGGACAGCCAGTGGTCGGCGTCGCAGCGCAGCTGGAGGCGGGGCGCCGCGGGAGCGCGTGACGGCGTGACGAGGCGGGGCAGCCCTGCACCCGGTGTCGCCGTGGCAACAAGCTGCGGCTTCCTAAGGTGCCCGGTGCCGGGGGCGCGCTGGGTAACATCTTGTCATTTCCGTTGGCTGGTTTCTAGCAGAACCCGGAGAAAAATGTAGTACGGATGTTTTGTTTGTTTGTTTGTTTTAAATATCCATTTGAGTTTTTAGTCTTGCCTTCCTGGGTTTATTCTGGATTTCGACTTTTCTCGAGACAGCACTCATGCAGCCTGGCCTTTGAACTGGACATATGGCTTAAGGATGACTTTGAACTCTAATCCTCCTGTTTCTGCCTTAGAGCATCTATTTTGTTTCCAATATCCTATGATAAGTGAAGCTTTTTACAGTTTTTTTTTTTATTTTTTTTTGTACATTTAGTGTCTCTCTGTGTGTTCAAAGGACAACTTGGGGAATCAGTTCTCCCTTCCACCATGTGGTTCTGGGGACTGACCTCAGATGGCCAGGTTTGTGTTCACTGAGCCCAGAAAATACCTTTATAATAAATCTCTGTGAGTGGAACATGGTGCAATGTAGCTCCTGCAATAACCCAGATAGTTGCCACCATTGCCATGTTGGAGATGAGAGAACAGAAGTTGGAGACATTTAGGGGTGATTCTGCTGAGGCCTTGGTGGGGTAGCTCTGTGGTAGAGTTGGCCCTTAGCATTCTAGGGGCCCAGTGTTCCACATGTGAAAATCCATTCCAAGCTGAGGAAGTGGTCTTGCTCTGGGGTGTCAAGACTTGAACCTGAGCCAGGAAGTGAGCTAAGAATGCCTAAGCTTGTATATGGCAGTTGCTTTATGGAACAGTGAGTCCTCAAAAACAGGAGAGCTAAGCCTACAGCTCTGGGCACATTTTGAACCACGTCTTCACTTTTGTACAGCTGTGTTGAGATGATATGACAATAGGAAAGCCATATCCACTGTGATGGCTTTCTTTTGGGCCACCAACCAGCTCCCCAATCATGACAACAGACATGCTAACATGAGACAAGGAAAGCTCAGGCAGCCTCAACCTTAAACACAGAACTATAGCAACTAAGGGACGTGGGGACCACAGAGAAAGTCTTCCTTAAAGAAGGCCACCTCCCCCAATTGGTTATCCAGTATCAAGGGGTAACCTGAAAACATACATACAAGTAACATTATACAGACAGGTTATATTCTTATATTTAAGAACATATATCTAACAATATTAAAGAAAAAATGGCTATAGTGGGGAGCGTGGAAGGGGAGAGGGGAGGAGGGAAGGGGAGTAGAGAAAAATGTATAGCTCTATAGAAAAGGGAAAAAATAAAAATAAAAGACATTTCTTTGACTCTTATTATTGAAAAAAAAATTAAGAAAATAAGTAGTGTTATGTCACAGGATTGCATAAAATTTGGGGAAAAAAAGTGCTCTTTTTGTGCCCGAGTCCCTTGACAGGTTGCATTTCACTGTGCCTAAGCCTTAGCTGTAGGGGAATAAGCCAATTGAGTTGCCAAATCTCCACTTCTGTCCAGCTGTAAATCTCCAAGGTTTAAGGTAAGAGTTGAACCAATTCACAGGGATACATATGGTTCAATTGATCACATATCTTATGGTTATAACCCTAAATCTGAATTCATACCCAATGTTTACTGAGTACTTTTTTGACCTGTGGCTTGATTGACCTGGGAAGATGAAGGCTGGAATAGGGGAAGGAGGCATGTTCAAAGTCTTCTATTTTCAGTTAGGAATCCAGCAACTGACAAACCTTGACAAGCAAGAAAGAACGAGAAAGCCAAGACAAAGCTGTCTGACAAGCCAAATTGTTAATCTCGCTATCCTAACAGACTGAAATTACCTTTTAGGAAACAGTTAAAAAACTGTAGTTAAAACTTTGATTGACTGAGAGTTTATAAGTATCAAATGAAATGTTACTTGGTTTTGGTCCAGTCCCTGTCTCTGTGTCCTCTGCTCCTACTTCACAAGGCTGATTACCCAATGGTTGGTTTGCTCACTCAATTTATGCTAATGAGATGACTTAGGAAGGCACTAGTCATCAGTGACTGGATGGTTCTTTCCAGCCCCACCTGTAAGGGGAAGGAGATTGAGGCAAGACCTGTTAGAGTGGTTGAGAAAGTGTTAAGAGCCTTGTGGCTCTGAGAAGAGAAACCTCCACCCCTTACCTCAACATGTCTCTTAATCTGCATGCTGTGTACTATCTCCAGAACCAAATCAGAATACAAGCCCTGTGTGGTGTTACACACCTTTAATCCTAGCACTCAGGAGACAAAGGAGGTGGAGTTTAAGGCCACTTTGGTCTACATAGCAAATTCCAGAGCAACCAGGGCTGTTTTTGAGACCCTGTCTCATAAATAAATAAAGTCATGCAACCCAGAACATGTCTGCCCAAGTTGTGAGCTAGCCTAGCAAAAAGATGGCATACAAGGGAGAGTCACTGATGTCTTTTTCAAGTCAGTAGGGAAGAAGTACCAGTGACTGTCAACTGGGGTGAGGGTGGGGAGGCTGGTGGGGCAGAGCCTTTGGCCTTGTGGGATATGACAGGGTAGAACTGAACTACAGGCTACGCAGGAATAGCATTGGGGAAAACTACTGATGTGGGAAGGCACTCCACACACATGTAGTCACAGGAACATTCTGTGTTGTGAGAAGGGAGAGAACCATTTCTCCCATACTGCTATGGGAGCTGAGTGGGAGAGAGAGGTCTGTATCCTGCCTGCTCTTGCTGCTTCTGTGAGAAACCACTGAGTTTCACTAGACCCATGACACGTTTGCTAATAATGGCTATGCTGGGAGGCTGCACTAATGTGGAAATTTGTGTTCCCTCCAGTAAACACAAACCTTTGCTGATGAAATTCTATCTTCTTTTATAATAGAGACTTCAACTGTGTAATGTGGTTCTGTTTACATTTGAACAATTTGTATCAACTACAGAGAAATGTTACCATGTTTCTTTCCTGATTATAACTTGCCAACAGTCTAAGTTAACTCTTTAGATTCCTCTCCTGACCAACAACCACAGGATCTGATTACTTCCTTTCAATTCTACCCTTCCTGCTATGTCCAGCACTTCACCCCACTCCCATCCTCCAGTTCTTTGTATTTTATTATCAAAGCAAGAGGTTCTCAGTGGCTTCCCAGCAGGGTTCACCCTTCCATCAATGCTACTTGGTTGTTTTGTTTTGTTTTAATCTGTATGCTATTGGTCATAAAAAGCAAGAAAATATAAAAAGTTTAAATTTAACCAATCATTTAACTTTGATGGCTGAGGTCAGTTTTTCTTCGAGAACAATTTCTCAGTTATTGCTTTAATAGATTTAGAGTACAAGTTACTTGGGTAAAAACTATAAATACAGATTGGTTAGGAACATGAAAAAACTATGTTGATTTATGAAGTTGGAGAACCCAAGTTTTGCAAAAACAAAACAAACAAGAAAGAAAAACAAAACAAAACAAAAAACCAGGCAAATGAGTCACACAGATAAAAATCAAGGACATTGTGAAACAAATAATATACAAACTTTTATTCAAAGATAATTCAAGAAAGACACATGTTGGTCATCTGTAAAGAGATTAATCGAAGATCTCAGAAAAACTATCTGCTCAATACACATGGTTACTCACAGAAAGCTTTCTCTTCCATTAATAGCAGCTAAATTTATACACACAGAAAAAATTCTTAAGACCATGCATATTCAGTTGAATTCCATACATTCATTATATTCATCAAAAACCTGCAGGTATGTTCATGCCAAAGTATTACTTTAAGAAAAAAATTAAAAACACACCAAAACATGACCAAGATGAAATTAAAGAAAATAATAAATAAGCATAATTTATATTTTATTTAAAAAAGTTTGGCATCACACATATTAAAGTGTGTTAGACCGTGTTCATTCCTCAGAAGTGGCGTTTTAAAGTGTTAAGCATTGTTAAATATCAAAAAATACAACTCTGTTTTACAATGTAGTACTGGCATAATTCAAAGTACTGTGCCAATTATAAATAGATAATCAAGTTTCAAACATCTTTTCAAACATATTTAAAGGAAAGCATATAGACACACATTTATATGCACACAATTTATTATATTCATGTAATCAAAGATATTTATAAAAGCAGACAGTTTCATCCCCCAACTATGTTGTATACTTACATAGATTTTAATCTGTCCAAAGATTTTTCTGTTCCCAGTAGAGATTTTTTAAGGAGGAAGAATAAAGATAAAACTTAATTTTACAAGAACACACATTAACTTTATTCTCTTTCACAAAATAATCCATAGTTATTTGAGGCTGATAAGAACTGTTTTGTTTTTTGTTTTTGTTTTTGTTTTTTTTTATGAAAGCAACGGCTGCCTAAACACCACAGAGTAGGGACTGTAGTCTAGGTCTCTTGTTAAGTCAGTCAGCTGCTGCTCAGTTCGGAGAAAGCCTACACGGTGCTTCTACCAAAAATAATCTTCAGTGTCGGAGGCCTCTAAAGGCAGATGGTCTCGTCTTCTCTGAGACGTAAAGTGCAGCTACAATTGGAGAAGCGCTAGGCTCTCAGTCACTTCAGAAAGACCTGTCAGTGGCAATTTCTCATGTATAGACACGCTGAAATCATCCTGCAGGCTCATAACGGTTTATCAATAACTGTGACCCCTGCACGAAGGAACGAAGAAATAAAACATGTCACAGGCCTTGGAGAAAATCCAGAATTCTCCACTGCTAAAGCCACAGGCAGCTTCTGTGACTTTCCTCCAAGTGACAAGCACCAGATTTGTTCAGGCTGAAGAAATGGCTTAGTGGTTAAGGGCATTGACTACTCTTCTACAAGATCTGGGTTCAATTCCCAGCGCCCACACAGTGGGTCAGAGCACTCTGTAACTCCAGTTCCAGAAGATCTGGCATCTTCTCCTGGTTCTATGTGGACACCAGGCAGGCATGCAGTGAGCATGTAGGCAAACATCCACATGTATATAATAAAATAATTAAAATTACATTTGTTTATTTTATGTGTATGAATGTTTTGCTTGCATGTATGTCTGTGCATAGCACAGTGAACTCAGAAGTCAGAGAAGGGCATGGATGACCTGGTACTTACTGGATCAGACGTGGTTGTTAACACATCATAAAGGTGCAGGGAACTGAACCTGGGTCCCATGCAAAAGCAACAAGTGCTCTCAATGTCTATACCATCTCTCCAGCTTTCATCATTTTTTTTTCTTTCTTTTTAATACAGCTTTTTCTTTAAAACAAAAAGTACTTATTACCATTACTTAATTATATATGTGTGTGCTTGAGTATGGGGTTATGCATGCATGAGTATGGGTTTATGCACGCGTGAGTATGGGTGCCCAAACAGTCTAGAAGAGAGTGTCCTGGAGCTGGGTCCTCAGTAAAAGTAGTTAACATTCTTGACCTGAGCCATCTCTCCAGCCCCCTGCACTACCATTTTAACATATATGGCTGTGAAAGCTCTGTTAGGTCTGAATAAATTCTACATATATCAGACTTCTGGGCCTAGAACCTTTTTTTTTTTAACTTTGAAGTTATTATTGGGGAGAATCTGTCAGAAAATAACAAATGTTACCTAATACTTTAAAGAGTCAGAAAACATGCTGGAGAGTGGATATGTCCATCATCTTGATCGTGGTGATAGTCAATCTTGTGGGTATGTGTGAGATTTATACTAAATATATTTACTAAATATGTACTAAAATGCACAGTAGCTGTTCTATGTCAGTCATGACTCAATGAAGTAGCTGAAAAAATTTTCCCCTAATATTGCATTATTTTATTCTGGGATCCTGCTATATAGTTTCCTGTGAAGTGTCATTTGGAAGATGGATAAACAGCAGTGATGATTACTTAATGAAAATCAATACCCTCTCCAGTATTATATTAACTGTGTTACACTCTGTTACTTAAAACATCATCAGACTTACTAAATATGTAATATGTAGTTTTAAAGACATTGTTACATTAAAGGTTATTATAATTTCTTTTATTTGAGATAATGGGCCAGAAATTACAAAATTCAACCAACGTAAGGCATTCTACCATGCCTCACGGGCAATGCGCTGAGATAGTCGTACTTGTTTTTAATTAACTATTTTACTTCTTATGAGGTAAAGAAGGCATATGTGTCACAGCACATGTATAAAGATAAAAAGACAATTTTGGGAGTCATTTTGCTCATTCCATTATGTAGGACCCAGGGACTGAATTCATGTCACCAGGCTTGGCGAAAGCCTTTGCCCACTCAACACTCTTGCTAGCCCCTTTGTCACACTTCTTGGTTAAGGAATTAAAGCTTTGCTGCTTAATGAACCACTCTCCATCATATAAGGCTTTTAGTCACTAAAATACATTAAATATTTCTGAGCTGTAGGTGAAGTATTTTAAGTATTACATTATGAGAATGCTTGTGCCTCACTGTCAATACACTGTTTAAGCATATAAAAGATTTTCTTACAGGAAAATGAGTTACAATATGAGGATGTCACCTGCATGCCAAGAGACAAAGAATGAAGTCACCGTACCTGCATAACTTCTCCCCGTGCTCATACAAGAGGATACAACTGTCCATTTATCTGTTGTGGGGTTATAATACTCTACCGATGCCAAGTTACAGGAACCATCATCTCCTCCAACAACATATAACAGACCGTTAACTGCACAAACACCTTAAGAAGTTATACAGAGAGAAAACAATTATTTCAACCTTCAAGGGAGCACAACAACCCCTACATGCTTTCTTGGATAATACAAGTGATGGGCTATAAAATGAGGGTGTGTGTGTGGGGGGGGTGATGACATGTGAGACCTACTTGAGCAAAGCTCCTACTGTGCACCATTTACTGTGTGCACTATTACTGTGTACACCATTACTGCAGCAGCTGATATAGCTATAACTAAATCACTTAAGCACAACAGCTTTACTTATATTTCAATATGCAGGGAGGGAGGGAGGGAGGGAGAAAGGTCAAAGTGGTAAAAGATTCTCAATGTCAGCTTTTAGGAGATTCTAAGAAAATATTAACAGAAGGTTGACATGAGTGCTAGTGGTAGAGCTCAGTGGTAGAGCAGTAGCCTAGAAGGAAAAAAAAATTGTAATTTCAAGTTTTACATGGGATGGTTAAGCTATTTTGTTTTCTTTCTAAAGGGAGCCAGCCGGGTTGTAGTTCAGTAGCAGAACACCTTCAGAGTATGTATGAGGTGCTGGGTTTAATGTCTGGCATTGCCAAAGAGATAAGACAATGGTGGCTGGAGGCTGAGGCAAGAAGATGGTGAGTTCAGGGGCAACCTGGGCACGTACTGAATCCGTCTTTAAGACGAGGTGGCGGGGAAAACAGTATTCTTTATCTGGTTACTAGAATAATTATTTTTGGCTTGGAAAAAGTTCCAAAGCTTCTAGAACAACTTTTAAAATACTGATCTCTACTATAAACAACACACACTCTCTCTTGCTCTCTTTCTTCTTAACCCCAAACAGGTAATACTAATTGTACTTTCTTTTTCTGCAGATGACAGCATCTCACTTTGCCTTGACCTCATTGTGTAATCAAATGATCTTAACTCCTGATTCTGTCTCTACCTGTAAGTGGTAAGATTACAGACCTGAGCCATCACACCCAAATTTCTTTTTCTTTTCTTTCCTTTTCTTTTTGAGATAAGGTCTCATTCTGTAGCCCAGGATGGCCTAAAATTCCCTCTGCAGCTCAGAGTCATCCTGAGTGCTGGGGCTGCCCGGGTGAGCCATCATGCTTGGCTTATGTAACCCAATTAGTCTGACAAACACCATACTTAGAATATTTCTCCAAAATAATAGTAATCTACATAATCTTAATGGCTGCACACATTTTCATGTGTATAAAACCATGCTTATCTAGTTCTTTCATACTGGTAGATATTTAAAAGGAGGAACAAAAAGCACCTATATGTTTGCATATTCATAAAATTATTTACTATAGTTTTTTTAAAAAAGAATTCAGAGGTAAACACTATATTTCAACTTAATTATGTCTAGGGCTAGAAAGATGGCTCAGCAGTTGACAGCACTAGCTGCTCTTTCAGAGGACCTGGAGTTTAATTCCCAGCACCTGCATGGCAACTGTGATAACAACCATCTGAAACAATTCCATGGGATCCTATGCCCTCTTCTAGCCTCCACCGTTAGCAAACATAGATATACACACAGGCAAAACAACCACACACAGCTGAATTATTTTTTAAGTAAAGAACCTAAGCTGGGCATGGTATCATACACATATCCGAGCTCCCAGCACTCCGGTGGCAGGAGAATAAAAAGTTTGGGCCTGACCTGGTCTGCAGTGAGAAATTTCCAAAATAAGTATTCAAAAATACATATTCAAAGCTACACTGAAAGGGAGTGAATCCTCTCTCTCTCTCTTTTCCTCAGACTCAACTGTTTCCAAACAATTCAAAATACTTAGAAGCTGATGCCGCTGCATACAAGCTCCTTGAGGTTCACACGTGTACACACGGATGGTGAGGAAATCCAACAGGCCCAGATGGCCTGATGAGTTCAAGGCTAAGCTTCCTGAGCTAATTCATGTCGGGCTCTCAACTGAAAGAGCACCCCATTGCAGAGGAGGTCAGTTACTGCACCCACTCCAGCAGCACCGCTATCCCTTCCGAATTGTAAGTTTACTAATGTCCCAGTCCTGTAGAGCTTTGGAAAACAAACCCCTTCACCAAAAGGACAAACTTTCCTCACGTACTTGGCAGTTCCCATCTGTTTGGTTTACTTTATCTCAACCAAACACCTACTGAGAACCTATTACAGATGTCTTAAACATTATAAGACTTGTAACCCTAGCCAGCCGCCCCCCTCCATTCTCCACATCACAATTTTCCCTTTCCTCCATTCTGTCTTTGGGGGTGGTGATGTTTAAACAATATCTCCATATGCTGTCCAGGCTACCCTGAAGTAGTTACATCATGCAGAGAAGCCTGGAATGCAAGACTTTTCTGCCTTCATCTCCCCAGTTCTAAAAGTATAGGGATGTGCTATCATGCCTGGATTTTTTTTTTTTTTTTGTTCCACTTTGATATAGTTTACCATGCTTATGAAAACTTTTAAAATATGACTTGTAAATTGCTTGCTAACTCAAACTTCTGTGACGCCCTCACCTTTCCCCATGCCCTGCTCCCTCCTTGCCAGATGAGCCCTTCTTTCCAAAGGGGGTGCCTGGATAAGGCCTTTAGACTAGATTAAGTAAACAGGGTCTAGAGAGCTCATCAGATGCTTGTTTCAGATGGCCAGAAACACCAAATGAAGGTTACCTAATCCCATATCCTTATACCCTAAATCAAGTACTCACTCTACCCAAGGCCCAGACCTGTGAGTGCTGCAATCCTTTTAGATAATCTCTTGCTGAAAGACTTTCAATATCTTACCAAATACAACTGACTGGGTAAAGTCCATGGCTGAATAGTTAATTATAAATTCTGCTCTGCTACTCACAGTCCTTACTGTCCTGTACTTGGTGTTCCCCTCTGGCCACAAAGAAACCAAAACAAACAAACAAAAACAAATAGCATTTTTAGGGAGTACATCTAGCAACTGAATTTAGTGGTGCACGGTAACCTTGAGAATCACCAGGAACTTAGGTGATGGGGAGGGCAGGAGAAGACTAGCATTTCCCTCCTAGGAATCCTTTAAGTATAGTTATGTGTCATATAAATTTAGGGCAGTCATGGGCTGGATAAAAATGCTGATCCCCTAAGAGTATAACAGAGATGGGAATTCCTACGACCTAGTGATGCTGTTGCCTGGGGCGGCTAGCCTGAAACTGTAGCATGTATTTCTGGTAATGATGGTATAAACACACCTATAGCCTTGCCCACTGTGTAAATACACTGTATTGGTGGTTACAAACAACACATAACAGGTCATGTAATTATTCTGAAGAACATCCTTCTACTTATCAAAGAAACATGTACTGTAAATCAGTGTACTGTTGCTCAAGTCCCATACAGTTTATGTCTCCTGTGTTTTTTTATTACATCAGGAGGCCACATGGGGTAATTGGCTTATAACATCTTGGGTTACGTAAGTGTGATTTTCACACAATGTGAAACGCACTTCCAGCTAACCCATGTCTCAAAAGGTCTGTGGGAAACAGGAGACTGCAGCACTCTGACCCCCAAAGACCTCTGTATTCTTAAAACTAGTTTTTGTTGTGGCTACTGGTTTCTCAATGAATCCTGAATTATATTACATCAGAGCAAGCTCTTGAGACTTCCCCTCCAGATATGAATAATAATTTACTTTGTTTAAAAAAGTCTTGTTATATAGTCCAGACTGGCTGGAACCCAAGATCCCCTTCCCTTTACCTCCCAAATGTGCGTAATTACACTTGGCTCAAGTAGTTTTTAACACCCTGTTGATATTACCCAATTGCACATATCCACTAAGAACTGAGCTCACTAGTACGTGATACAAGGTACGAACTCAAAGGTGTTTACATTAAAAACAAATGAGCTCAAGTATCAAGTAAAGAGGGTTCTACCAGCAATCTCATCAGTCTACAAAGATCTCCAAAAGCTGGCATAAAATATAAGGTCTCTACAGTATCAAGACAACATGCTATATCTAGATATATCTAGAATATAGCATGACAACACACACACACACACACACACACACACACACACACACAAAATATCTAAAGATGACCTTGAACTTTCAACTCTCCTGCTTCTGCAAACATCAATGGAACATTTAGGTTAAAAGCACTCACCACTACACCTGATTTACATGGCTCTAGTGATTGAACCCTGGGCATCACAAATGCTAGGCAAGCATTCTACCAAATAGGCCTTATATGTGTTTATCTATTTTGATACAGGGTCTTACTCTGCAGCCAGTCCAAGCTGACATGGAGCCCTCTATATATTCTCAAACTCACAGCACTCCTCCTTCTTCAGCACCCCAAATGTTAGGACATGATCTACCATATCTGGTTTCTTAAACTGTTAAAAAAGTTACTTTGATGGTGCTATGGATCAAAGGCTGGGTCTTACACATGTGATGCGAGGGCCGTAACACTGCTACTGAGCCGTGTGTGAATATTCACTTTAAGGGCTTCTTAAATAAGCATTTGCACTGGAAACCTTTCAAGTCTATCAGGGAATGAGATTAGCAATGGAAATGCACAGGGAAAACTGGGAAACCATCCCTAAAAAATGCAGTATGGATGGCATGATCTTGGATTCAACAGATACCTGCATTTCTTCTGCACATGTTCATATCTGCAACCTGTCTCCAGGCATTGGTGGTGGGATCATATACTTCAACACTTTTCCGTACTAAAGGACCATCATGACCTCCTACAGCATATAATAAGTTGTTTAGGACGCCAACACCTATAAAACACAACCAAGCAAATCACAGTAAAGCAAAGGAGGAAAGAAACCTGCAGTACGGGGCAGCAGACACACATGCCTCTGGATGAAACTGGGAAGTCATACCTCCCACTGGAAAGACACTGATGGAAAAGCTCAACACTGTGGAAATGGAAGGGAACGGACTGGCAAGGACCTTCGTAAGAGCTGCTATTCTAATAAGAAAGTCAAACAGAAGGAACAGATTCAACAACCTTTAAAAAAATCCTCCCACAAAGGACTTTCTCCAGGCGTTCAGTCTGTAAAAGCATACAATTTGAAAGATATGGCCTTGAAGAGATCTGCTTTCTGAACAACTTCCCAAATAAGCTAAAAACAAACACCTAAAAGGAATGACAAAACGACATTATGTAACTAAAGCAGAGACTCTTTTCAGGCTTGGAAGCTTTTACTCTTTATAAAATGCACATGGTACTTATCACTGCCACTTAAAAGCACTTAGCAGAGCCAAGAAAAACACCATACATTTCCAAACCCCATACTCTGATGCCCATCCGTCATTTCCCCTCGGTTGCTGACTAGGGTTTCTACTTACCTGCTCCACTCCGTCTGGTGCTCATCTCTGCTATGTAGGTCCATTCGTTTGCAGTAGCATTATAGCATTCTACTGTGCTAAGACACTGTCGTGAGGCTCCATCATAACCCCCCACAGCATAGAGCAAACCTAGACATGGAACCACAGAGAAACCCAAATAAGCAATCAAGCAATCTATTTCCTTATCACAAAATGTGAACATTTCTTGCTCTGTGGCAACAGAGCTTCTGCTTGAAGTATCCCTGCTTTTTAAAACACAATCTTGCTAAATAAGTAACATGTAGAATGATCAAATCATATTTACAAAGAGTGCATGGAATAGACAATGCACTTTTTCTTACATTTCTCTTGCATTTTCTTCCTCCCTCCCTTCCTCCCTCCCTTCCTTCTTTCCTTTTTTCTTTTTTGGTTTTTTGAGATAAGGTTTCTCTGTATTGCTTTGGAGCCTGTCCTAGAACTAGCTCTGTAGACCTAGCTGGACTCGAACTCACAGAGATTCACCTGCCCCTGCCTCCCAAGTGCTGGGACTAAAGGCGTGCACCACCAAAGTCTGACTGATAGCAGAGAGTAGTACACTCATGACTTTAGATAACACTAGCTGGTGCATGAACAAGATCTTGGAAAACAGAAATATCAGTTATCTTAATAAGTTGGGGCAGGGCCTTAAATCATGAGTGAGTAGCAGAGGGACCAGACAGATGTCTCAACAGTAAAAAGCAATGGCTGCTCTTCTAAAGGACCCATGTTTAAGTCCTAGCATCTACATGGGAGCTCACAACCATCTCCAACTTCAGTTCCTGGGAATCTGACACCCTCTTCTGGTCTCCATGGACACTGTGCACATGGTTCACAGACATACATGTATACATGTAAGCAAAAGATCCATATATATTTAAGAAGAAAAAGAAAAAGGGAAGTCAGTGCCAGAATGCAATGAAATATCTGGAAAGAAAAAGCTATGAGGTTCTAATACCACATCATGGATAAAGTATTAATATACATCATGAGTGACATTAAAAACATGCTAAATGAGAAAAGCAGTCATATGATTTCATTTATGTAAACATCTAGAAGGGAGAAATGTACAGTGACAGGAAGTAGTGATTACTGAGTACAAGGGACAAGTGATTACTAAGGAAAGTGGGGATTTTGTGGTGATAGATGGAATTATTTAAGTCAAATGGAAGTTTCTATGATATTTCAATTGTATTTTAAGAAAATCATTTTAAAAAAATATTTATTATTATTACTTACACACACATACACTTGCATGTGAATGCAGGTGCCGACAGAGGCCAGAGGCATTGGATGCCCCCGGAGCTGGAGTTACAGGCAGTTGTGAGGTGCCTAATGTGGGTGCCGGGAATCTAACTCAGGTCCTCTGGAAGAGCAGTAGATGGTCCTAACTGCTAAGATATCACTCCAGCCCCATGAAAACTAGTTTTAAAAGTAAAGAGAAAGCTGGGACTGGTGGCGCACACCTTTAATATTATCGGTTGGAGGTAGAGGCAGGTTGTTCTAATGAGGTTAGCCCAGGCTGGTCCACATAGTGAGTTCTAGAGCAGCCACAGATATATAGTGAGACTCTGCCTAAAAAACAATTTTACTTACCATCAGAGGAAATGGAAAAACATAAATTTGCCTAAGCTAGAATTTGGGGGGAGGGAAATCATACCAGAGAAATAACACACAGAGGTTTCCCCCAACTGGAAAGTAAGTAGGATATAAACTAAACCACAGCAACTGCCCCTTGAATATTAAATGGCCCTTGTCTAGATACAGCCTATTGGATGTATAATGACCTGAACTGCCCCCACAACAACTATAATAAGAACAGGTGTAAGAGCTGGGTGCTAATTAGGGAAGAAAGTACTTATCTAATGTCTGGGTTCAAGTCCCAGTAAGGTAAAAAAAAAAATTAGTTGGCAGTCTTATATACGTCACAAAGAGGGAGAGAAGGATAGAGGGAAGGAGGGAGGGAGGGAGGGAGGGAGGGGCGGAGGAAGAAGAGGGAGGGGAAGGCAGAAAGGGCTTACATAGTTTAATTTATACAAATGGGCTAATTTTAAAAGAGCAATTAAAATATATAACCACTGCTTCTCCTTCGTCCACTTATAATAGTGCTCAGGTCTCCAGATGCACCCCTCCCCAGAACCCAATGGCCCAGAGTATCTGCAAATGCTCACCTGGGGGAACTGCCAGACCTACCTCCAACAACACCCACACCCACACTGCTCCTCCTCGTGTTCATCGGAGCCACGTGAAACCATTCGTTAGACTTTATGTTGTAGGCTTCCACAGACGATAAACCTGGGATAAAGCATAATACCCTTCATTTCCGCTTCCAAAAAGACACAGTTGCTTTTTTTGTGTAAACACCACTAGGGGAAGTAATGTCAGGTATTTTACATTGGGCTAATATTAAAAGAAGAAATGGAAAAGCATACTAATTATATGATAGGAATGACTACTGGAAGCTTCTACTCAAGCTGTTGCCATTCATATGCTTTGAAATGTGAAAGAGTGACGGTTATTAATGCATAAGAAACAAAATTTATATTATCTGTACTGTTACATCTTTTTAAAATGGTTATGTGTTCCTGTGGGGGGGGGGGGAGCTCGTGTGCACACACATGACTGCAGTGCCCATTTAGACCAGAAGAGGGTGCTAAACATCATTAGAGCTGGAGTTACAGTTGGCTGTGAGCAGCTCTAACTGGGTGCTGGGAACCAAACTCTAGTCCTCTAAGAGAGCAGCAAGCACTCTTAGCTACTTAGCCATCTCTCCAGCCTTCAATCATACCTTTTAAAGAAAAAATTTAATTTAAGGTTTTGAGACAAGCTCTCACCATGGCTATCTTCAAACTTATGTTTCTCTTGTCCACAAATTTCCCCATACTAGCCTTTAAAGAAATTCTCAGTGTATAATGCCTGCTAGGAACATTCAGTTATATGCTAATTTTAACATGTGGTTATTATGCTAATTCTAACAGTGATGCAGGAGAGAAGAAATTACCTGTGCTGCCATCAAAGCCCCCCACTGCATATAACAATCCATTTAGCACAGCTGCCCCCAGCGTGCTTCTTCGATCTCGCATGTTTGCAACACTGGTCCACTGGTCTTTCACCGGGTCATAGGAATCAACAGTGCGGACTCTTAGGGAACCATTAAAACCACCAACAGCAAAGACAAGCCCAGCCATATATACCATCCCTGTAAAGGAAGACATCAATCCAGGATGAATATGCCATTCAATGGTTACCCGTTTTGAAGGCAGGCTATGATTAAGAAAGTCTACCAGTGTTTGTCAGAACACAAAAGTCTTGACAGCTTTAAATACTGAGTCAGTCTTGAAAATTTCTTCTTCATTTGTAAGAGACATAAAATCAAAGTGCACCATGAGGTGTGTACTAGAAATCCACTATTGCAGTTTGATGGAGGATAAGATTAAAAAGTTTCAATGTCCCATTGAAAACTTGTGGGCTAGGAGTATGGGTGATCTGGTAGTAGAGTGGTTGCCTGGTCTTGCACCCCATAAACAAATAAAACTAAAACTAAAGAGTAGCCAATAGGGGGAAGGAGGGATGGAAGGAAGAAAGGAGAGAGAGAGAGAATGAGAATATATATCCTGGTCCCCATATGTTCTAAGCAGGACCTCTACTAGTGGATTACAGCCCTGGTCCTTGACTCTTACAGAATGAGAGAACTGAATACGCTGGAATGTAACAATCTCACAGAACATGCTTCTGGGAAATAACCGTCATGGGAAGACACTATACTAAGAACAATGGGTCTGTATTTCAGGCCCAGTAGAGATTCTCAAGATTTGTAAGTGCTTCCTTTGAGTAGTTTGGGCCAAATAACATCTGCTTCAATCCATCTGTAGAACAAACGCTAGGATGGAAACAACCATTGCATATAGCTTGGCTGGACATTTCCAAGAAGAGTTTTCTCTATCCATATTTCATTACGGTAACTAGGAAAACAGTCAGCAAATCTCCAGATCTTCCTTTTGTTCTGGAAAACCAGAACAATGCCTAAAGATGAAGAAGACAGCACAACAACCAGGCACAATGGAAGACATCTGCAATCCTAGCACTTGGGAGGCTGAGGCAGGAAGAACAGGAAGTTCAAGGCCAGCCTGGGCTACAGACCCATAGACCCTGTCTCCAAAAAAATAAAAGAGCTGTTATCCTTTCCACAGAAGAGGTTCAGCCAGGCTTTTACACGGCCTTCTTCTTTTTTAATTTAAACAGAGTCTCATGTAGTGCAGGCTGGCCTTGAACTCGCTATGTAGTTAAGGATGACCTTGCATTACTAATCTTCCTGCTTCCACCTCTGGAGAGCTGGGGTTAAAGACACAGACTACCATGCTTGGTGTCTTATAAACATTTTCCCCTAACAACTGCAATAAGACCTCAGTGCTCCCACAGACCCAGAAGCAGAGGTGATCATCACACCCCGGGCTCACCTGCTCTGCACCTCCTGGAAGGCAGCTCTGCTACTTGGTGCCATCGCTCCTCTTTGAAGTCATAGCACTCCACACTTCGGATGGCCTTCGGTGCTTGGCCCCCGACTACCACCATCAACTAAAAGGGAAGAAATGTAAGTGCTTGAACCGCTGCTATCACCTCCTCAAGAGACTGACAATATCCTACAGACACTGACAAGAAGAGCAATGGGATGAAAAGGGCACAGCATGCTGGAGGAAAATGGCTGCCTAACCAACACACACACCATCAGCAAGGGGCACGTGTTAGAACTGCAATTCTATCATCTAGCGCATTTGGTTTAAAACTAGGCTTTCCGAAACCTAAAGAGGCTTCTAGCCACTCAAACAAACGTAGTATTTAAGGCAAAAACAGTAGGCAGCCAACACAGACAAGGCTGCAGGTTATCATGGGGCTTGCTGTAAACCAGACTCTGGTTCTGCAGTGATCAGAGGTAAGACTACTTCAGCCCAGAAGAAACGGAAGTAAAGTGTGTTACTAGGCAGTGAGTGAAAGGACAGTAGAGGATTCACAGATGGAGAAACTATTTGAAAGAGGGTAGCTGGAGTAGATGAGATCTTAAGGAAAGAGGCCTCTCAACGCTCCATAAATAAACCATCATCATAACATCATGAGAGGGCTGCAGAGTTTCCTCAGGTCAATGGGACAGCCGATTAACCACACTACTATCTGCCTAGAACTATGATAGGGGTCACATAGGGCATGGTCACTCACTACATGCCACGAGCTTACAGATCACACTGAGGATCTAACTAACACCCAGGATGGAATTCAATGCCAATGTGCAACTGTACACAGTCCAAACCTACAGACACTAGCTGCTATTGGGAACCACAAAAAGGAGAGTGACCATGAGTCAGTGAAAGTTTCCTAGGGAGCTGGAGCAAAGACTTTGGAAGATGGACAAGACTTTTGTCTTTCACCACACACGGGCACCTTTCTGGCAATGGGGAATAAAAGCTATCATGTCAGGACAATGTCACAGTTAGTATGGAAAGCTAGGGAGAATGGGCAGGGCTCTGGGAGAAAGATGTGATCATGGTAAGAGAAGAATACTAAAAATAAACCAACAATAACAAAACCAACATAAAGAAGCTCACAAAATTGGGGAGGGGGGTTGTGACAGTGACTGCATCATCACCTACCTGTGCCTAAAACTACATCATCACCTACCTGTACCTAAAACTACAGAGAGATGTGTACACAGAAAGCATGATTCCAGATTCCCAGTAAATCACAAGTTAAAAAAAAAAAAAAAAAGTAGCCTGTTATTAGTTACGGAGTAAAGCAGAAAAACTCTTAAGGTGCTAAAGCTTAGCATGAACCAATGGTGCAATTATTTCAGTTTATTCTTCTAGTTCTGAACTCAAATAAATAAGGAGCTAAGGAGCATTAGAGAAAATCATTGCGCCCTATTACCAAGAGGCCAAAGAAACAATAAAAGGGTAGGGGCAAGACTGTAAAGCTATTCTTGCATGGCGCATCAAATCAAGCCTGTACATAGATCTGTCTTCAAACCGCAATCTAATAAAGCCCAATTCAAATGTCAAACCTCAGAATAAAGTAAAGGTATTTTAAAGATTTTGTTTCCAATTTTTACTTTGTGTATGTGTGTATATGTGTGCGCTTGGGTGTGGTTTGTGCACATCCAGTACAGTGCCTACAGAGAGAGGCCAGCGGATGAGAATGCTGGAACCAAACTCAGGTCCTCCAAAAGTACAGTTTGCACTCTTAACCAGTGAGCCATCTCCCCAGCCCCCGGAATAGTTTAAAATCCTCAGTCAGCATAGTGGTTGGTAGATTCCACAGTTCTCAAACTGGATTCATTATTCCCACATGGAAAGGAGAACAGAAGAGAAAGTGCATTACTGCAGTGAACAGGGACAACATCTTCATCTTACTTCTCCATGAAAAACAGAGTGGGATAGAAGGTCCTTGTACCCAAGGACCAGAAGAAAGAAACCAGGAGGAATGCATGCGAGCTCAGGACAGCAGGCACAGCGGTGAACTGGGAAATGTGGGTGTTGAGATCAGCAAAGGGGCCGCTTATATCATAGGTCATTACTTATTTATAAAAGACACTTAACCCCGAGAGCCACACTGTTTGATATAGCACACAAGCATCAACAGGACAGGAAGAGCTTCTGTAGGGAGTAATTAAAGGTAACACCAGAGAAGGGTAAGAGGTGGGGAGACAAGTGAATAGCAGGGGTTGTCCTGAATACAGGTCACTTAGACTTTCTTCATCCAGAAATACATCAATACTCTTTACCAAAAAGTGTGGGGGGGGGCGGGGCGGGGCGGGAACAGGGGCTAACTGAAAAAGTATGCAGCACTAAGACATCTATAGTGGGGTTGGAGATGGCTCAGTGACTACGCGTGTGTATTGCTCTAGTAGAGTTCAGTTCCCATGCCCAGGCTGGATGGCTCTCAACTGCCTGTGACTCCCTCTCCAGGGAGTCCAATGCCCTCTTCTGGATTTCACGTGGACCAGCATGCACATGGATATTTGTACGCATAGACACAGAAGTAAAAATTAAAAATAAGTCTAAAAAGCACAGAGCTTCTCATTATGATATCCAAATATAAGGACGCTTCATGCAATCCTCCTATAGTTTACTTAGAATGCAAAACTAATATGCGGGACTGAAAAGTCCTACGTGCAATTAGTGAGTGCTAGCCAGAAAGTAACATAAGACAAAACATTAGTGTGGCACTATCTCAGATTTTAGAGTAATTTCCTCAGCATTGCTACTGTGTTTTATTCTATTTGACCCTTCAAGACTACAATAAAGATATCATTACTACAAGATATGCATGCATATATTAATCCTGCTTCACTCCCACTTACTTACTTAGAAAAAATTTCGAATACTTGGTCCCACAGAAAAACTTCCCACACAGCACACAGGCACCTTTTCCAAAAGCTATGTGCAGAAACAAACATTGGAGAAAGGACAGTGCATGCAGAAGGTATACACTCAAAGTTGTGATGCTACTTGAACTGTCACCATGTCTGCTGCCCCTCCCATAGGAAGGCGGGGAAACCCCAAGGAAGTGAAATACCAGAGATGCTCCATGAATCCATATGCACACCAGAAACAGCAGCTAACACATGGAAAATCTGGAAGTACCTAACAGTGGGAAAGGGAGGTCACACCAAAGAGGCTCAGGAGAATACTTAACTGAACTTAAGTCTTACAAAGAGAAAATAAAACAATTGATAGGATTTTACCAACGGCTCCTTAGCTCTGCAAAAGTGCCATATTTAGCCTGGAAATTAGGCAGAATTCATCTTTATTCTAAAGGCCTCTCTGCAGTACAGTTGAAGATGCCAGGGGGATTGAGTGTGAACTAAGAAGGCTTTTATTCTTCCCCTCACATATATGAAAGATTTATGAAGTACTAAAGTTGAGAGGGGGTGTTGAGATAGAGCCGTGCTTGCCACCAAGCATGATGATGGGAGTTCAACCTCCAGGACCCATATGGGGGAAAGAAAGAATGGACTCCCAAGTTGTCCCCTGACATCCACGTGTGCACCTGCATGCACACGGATGGACAGATGGACGGACGGACGGACGGACGGACACACACACACACACACACACACACACACTATGTAGAGAAACTAACAAGCATCAATGAAATGGTAACTTGGGGCTGAAGAGACTGGAGAGATGGCTCAGTGTATAAGAGCACTTGCTGCTCTTCTAGAAACCCTGGGTTTCATTCCCAGCATTCACAAGGCAGTTCATAACCATCTTTAATTCCAGTTCCAGGAAATACAAAGTTCTGGTCTCTGTGGGAACCAAGCATGTATGTGGTATGCAGACATATATACAAGTAAAACATTCATACATATAAAGTAAAATAGAAATCTAAAAATATACTTTTAAAAAGTATAGGGAACTGTCAAACTGTATACAACAAGGACTAGGAGCTGGAACTGACTGATCTATTGATCATATTTCATCCTATCATGTACATCTATGAAAACACCAGGATCCGTTATAAACTCCCTTGCTCACAGAGAAATCTTGCTGTTTAGTCTAACTCCCCTCTTTTTTCCCACTTGCTACTTAAAGTGGAGGAACTGAGAAGGGACAAAACCAATTGTCTTCCCTTCTTGGAGTGTGATGTCATAGGATTTATAGACAAAATAATGGGGCTCCAGAGATGGCTCTCTGGTTTAGAGTACGTTAGAATGCTTGCTGCTCTTGCAGAGAATGTGTGTGTTCAACTCCTAGCATCTATGGTTAATAATTCACAACCACTTGTAACTCCAGCTCCAGGGGATCTAATGCCTGCTCTGAGCTCTGTGGGTACTTGCATGCATGTGTTCCTACACACACATATACACATACTCACACACGATTAAATAAATTGAGCTGAAAAGATGGCTCATTAGTTTAGATCACCCAGCAACCATATGGAGTGGCTCACAATTGCCTTTAACTCCTAGATCCAAGGATTCTGATGTCTCCTTTGGGTTTTCATGTGTGCACATATATCACATACACACATACACACACACACACACACACACACACACACACACAAATAAAATAAAGGAAAATGTTTTTAAAAATGATTAAATGAATTAAATACTCCCTACCCTTAGCATGTAGTCAAGAGGGACTAAATCATAAATTCTATGATGCATTCTTGGGCACATTTCCCATGCACAAAAGCTGAGACAACGAGGCACAGATATTCAGATGCTCAAAACCATTAACAGCTCACTGTGGGCCTGTGGACGGAGCAAGCACAACTGTGAACAATAGGTCCTACTTTGGGAAGGTTCATGGGTGTCCTCAGCCGGGTCCGCACACTCTTCATTAACATGCGCTGCTCTGTTGGCAGCAAATGGTACTTCATGGCTTCAATGAGGTAATCTTTACACGCACTGCTATTCTTCACCAATGCTTCCTCTTCAACCCTCTGTTGGGAAGAGAGATGAGCCCTGTGAGGGGACCAGCTAGTGCAGGAGAAAACAGCCCCACAAACAGACAGGGAAAAGAACTAAAGCAGACACAGCACCAAATTCTGCTCAGGAATCTGGCACACTGAGAGAAACTGCAACGAAGGTGATGAACTTCAATCTTAACTAGAGAAAACGAACTCTGTGGGTAACAGTCACATCTACCCATTCTCTGAAGAGTTGACAAGAGAAGAAAAAGAGGAAATCTTGGTGGAAAGGTGGGGCATAGGGACTTGAGGACTTCACCTTGGAATTCACCCTCCATGATGCCCCAACATAAATGAACATGAAGATGCAAGACTGTGATCTGGGCTTTTAGGAAATATAGATAGCTGGTTCTTCATTTGGGCTACGCAATGATATCAATTCATGATGATTCTCTCTTCCAATACAGGAGGGCAAATGAAAAGAGGCCCAACATCCTTAAAAACATCATACCTATGCCAGTTTTTATTCATTTATTTGTTTTTGCTCTGGCAACACTCCACCTCAGTATTGGGATTTCTGTTAATTTTTTTCCCCCTGTTTAAAATATCACAGTATCCATATACCATGCAGACCATGTTAAATAACGGTGTTTCAATAAATCTTAAGATGCTGAATCTGATCACTGATCAAAAATGTCTCTTTATAAATGGTTTCAATTACAGGAAGGAATGCTAAGATGTTCCTGAAAGTCTAGTAGGCAACAAAGAGCAAATTTAAAATACTTAAATAATTCATTTCTGTCTACTTCAAACAGCCTGCTTTTTCTTCAGCTTAGAAATAAGCTACAGACATGTTCCTGTGAAATTATAAAGTATTATCAAACAGCAATTGGTTCCAATCTCAAAAGTCCATTCATTCCTGTTGGACAGAGTCTATAAAGGGAAAAATGTAAGGAAATGTTTATTGCTGGATTTCCCACCCAGTTCCTCAGCTGTCTTGCCCCAAATGAACACACAGATGCCATATTAATTGTTAAACTATTGGCCGGTGGCTATGGCTTCTTTTTGTTTGGCTTTGTCTTAATTATTATTGTCTATGTATTGACTATGTATTGTCACGAGGCTGTGGCTTACCCATAATTCAGCTTGCTGTTACTCCTTCGGCAGCATCTCAACTCTATGTGGCGGGCTCACTCTGCCTGCCTTTCCCAGAATTCTCCATGTCTCCTAGACCCGCCTATCTTCCTGCCTCATTGGCCAAACAGTGTTTTATTCAACCAATAAGAAAAACATATACAGAAGTTCTTCCCCCATCAGATGTTAGTGCAGGGTAGAACTTGAACATATTTATCTACATGTACTCAGAGGGTCACAGATGCCGCCTCAGAACCCTCCTCTGGTACTCCCCTGAATCAGGAAGAGTGTGGAATCTAAGTTCTAGGAACAGGGATGGGCTCAGAGGGAGCTGCCAAGCTGCCAGGCGCCTTAACTGTCCTCCTTCCTACACTGCAGAGATTGTAGTCTGAAGCCCTCCCCACGGTGCGAAGGAGTTCCACATGCTGCCAGGCCTGCAGATAATATGTGCAGCCTGATGACTGGTGCGCCCACATGTGCACTCACCTGTACTAAGTACTCCCGTGGTAGTAAGGGTAGCCGGACGTGTTCCATGAGCCGAGCCATGAATTCCTGCCTTACATCTTTATCGTGGTTTACCCAGGCTATTACCGCTTCAAATACCTTAAAAATATGGAGAAAGAAAAACAATGAGTTACATGCCAAAGCATTTAAATATAACAAAGCACATCTTATGTGTTGCTAGCACTAAAAAAATCTATGGATCAGTATTTTTGAAATCTTGTCTTGCAACACACACAGACATTAGCTTCTCTTTCTTTTGACATACAGTTTAGTAAATGCTTCATTAAGTACCTTTGTATACCCAATATGCACTTTTCATTTCGTATTTACCGGACATTTCACCAAGGTCATCATAAATTTTACTGAACCTGAGTGGGAGCCGTAAGAAAATGAAAATACACAACTTTCTTCTCTGTAGCTCCAATTACAGACTTAGGCGCCTTTAGAATAAAGCACCCAGGATGATGAAGCACTGAGACAGCCTAAAATGAAAACAAAATGTCTCCGTTTCTTTTCTTCTGCTGGGACAAAACACCACGACCAAGGCAAGTTATAAAAGAAAACATTTAATTAGGGGTTCATGGATCCAGAAGGTTAGAGTCCACAGCTGTCACGCAGGGAGCATGGCAGCAGCAGGCACTGCTCTGGAGCAATACTGAGTGATAGCTTACATCCTAATCCACAAGGAGAAGTAAGGAAAGGACTAAGCGGGAATGTCTTCTGAAACCTCAATCACGCAGATTTATGGACCTATGGGGGCCATTCTCATTCAAACCACCCTACCATGTACTGACTCATCTTCACCTTTAATGTCGTCACTTGTAGAATCACTCCTCCATGTGTCTGTGAAAGTGTTTCCAGAGAGAAAAAACCGGAGGGGCAGGGGAACCACCCATCTTAAACACAAGAGGCGCCTTTGCACAGACCAGGGACCCCGAAGGACTAAGTGGGAGAGGAAGATTCAGCAGGGTGCTAGTGTCACCCTTTCTCTGCTTCCCAGCCCCACCCATGTCAGGGGACCGCTGCTCCACTCCACTATGCCATCAAGGTCATGGACACTCTGAAACCAGGAGCCCAAACAATTTTTCCCTTTATCTTGTTTCTGCCGTCATGTAGTCATAGCAGCAACAGGAAAGTAACAAAGAAATGCACCCTTATAAACAACACTTGCTTGAAATTCTCTTTAGATTTACAAACGAATTTTGCTCAATACACTTCCAGGTCAGGGTCTATGCCATGGGTTAAGCCTCCTTTGCCAGAACAGAAGGCACTGAAATGTAGTATCTTAGATACTTTTACAAACAACAGGGAGAGCATCACTATACAACATATTCCTCTGAGAAAACTAAGAAGCTAATGAAGAGCAGTGCCTTCTACAGAACTTCCTCCCAGACTGATGGATACATTTCCTGACAATCTTGAAAAGGTTGTAGGAAATATATGGCAATATGCAAATGGCTTACTGGAAACATAAGCAGGTTATTTTGATACAGCATGAAACTAAAAATAGCGTACAGGCCAATTATCATTTTTCTTTAATTTATCCTGTCAACAAGGACTTACTGAATACTTCTGTGTGCCAGGTGCCAAAGATGAAGAAGTGAAGAGAGTGTACACTCTGTTAGCTCTACCACTGCTGTTCAGTCTTGTCAGCTCCATGTTCCTGCTCCTACTATCCTGGGTCAGACCTCAACCCTCTCCTGCTTGGCCCTCAGGCCACAGCAGGGCTTCTGCTCACTATCGCATGAAAGCTAGTATCCGAAGCTGCTCCTCGTCTCATCTCTGAGAGCTTATGAGACAGCCATATATGCCACATAAAACGAATGGCTCCCTTCAGCAATTACCACAGCATGAAAACCCCCCAGCAAGTGACAAAAGTGGAAGAGAGGAAACATATGGATTTGGAGACAGACAGACAGACAGACACCGTAACTACTGCCCACCTCTCTAGCCTGACATGCCTATGAAGGAGTAACTTTGGACATTCAAGACTCACAAGATAGCATGTGGAAAAGAAAGGAAGCCCCAGACTTCTGCTCCAGGAGAATCAGGCCAGACACTCTGTTATCTGGACCACTCTGGCTGAAGCCCTGCATGATACAGAGCAGAAACAGGCTGCCCTGCTACATCCTCCACTGAATTGGCAGCGTGATGAAATGGGTACTGAGTGTGCCACTACATTAGGTATCAGTATAAAACCAAAGCAGCCCTCATGATCTTTCTCTAATGCAGGGCTCACCGTGGCACCCATCTCCTAATTAAAGCCTGCAAGTAGCTCTTCATCAACACAAGAAAAATCTTACTGTTAACACAGCTGAGGGCATTCATGATGGTCCCTTCCCACTTCATTTCTTACCCCTCTCACAGGCTTGTTCTAATCCCAGCGATCCTTGAGCAATCATTCCCTCAGAGCCTTTGCATCTATATTGTCTGTTCCCTCACCCTGACATGCTTTCCCCACACCAATCCATTTCCATTTCACTAATGTATTCCAGCTAGGTTTTAAAGGCCTGCATCCTACATCTGAACCAGAAGGAAGTACCAGCACCGTCCCTCCAGTGTCCACACAAAGCCCCGTAATCACATATGAAGTTGCTCCACTGGTTTTCCCACTTGTCTATGACTAGAGAAGTCCACTCTGTCAGTCTCATACCCAGGGCCCTGACACAGTGACTGGGGTACAGCAGGCACTCCGTCCTCAGCTATTATGTTAGCAATAGTGTCACCCTTCTCTAGTCTGTGTATGCCACAGCTCTGCATATTTTTTTCACATTGTAAGTCCTAGAGAGAATGTATATCTCCATCCCCACATAGGATGAATGTCCCAAGAATACAATTGGTACCCAAGGTACTCGATTCCAATCTTGCTGTGGCAGTCAAGTACCCTTCTTGCAGGCCACTGATGCTTCTCTTCCCGCAGGACCACAATTTATGAAACAACTGAAATAAAAAAGGAAATACTGGGCTGGGGAAATATCTCAGTTGTATCTTCACAAGCATCAGGACCTGATTTGGGTCCTTGGAAACCAACTGAAAACAGTTGTACATGGTGGCACTTCCTTGTAATCTCAGCAAGCCAGGGAATCCCTGGGGCTCACTGGCCGGCCAGCCCAACCCACTGGAGAACTGTGAGAGACCCTATCTCAACAAAAATAAAAATAAATAATGAAAAAATGGATGGACAACACCTGAGGTTGTATTCTGTTTTATACAAACTTCCTGACACCCCCCACACAAGAAAAGGAAAGACAGGAAGCTAGCCAGCAGGGCAGAAAAAAGGGAAAGGAAGGGGAGGGGAGGGCAGGGGAAGAAAGATGGTAGCAGACAGAGGAGGAAGGGGGAAAGGAGGAGAGGCAAAGGGGAAGAAAGAGTGTCACTTGCCTTCTCTTCTGAGGAAATGGTAAGTTTGTCACTTGAGATTAAGCTGCACACTTGCTCGATGCCAAGGTTGAGAAACTCTTCACTAAGTACGACATCTGCAAAATGTTGCTCTGTTGGAAGGACGGAAAGAGACCATCAGCATCACACAAGCAAAGAGGCCACATATCTTAACTAATCCCAGAGGAGGAAACCCCACAGCATTTATTTCTTCTGAGTGAGAGGAAGAGGTAGCAAGGCTGCCTTAGTGGACACTCACTCACTGGGCAGAACTGTGTTGGGACTTAGCATGGTACATGTTAAACAGCTATGTCTCACATTGCCTGGCACCCCCAATGTTTAAGTCTGTAAAGCCTTGTTCTCACAAAAAGCATATGAGTATAAATTCACATCTTTGAATGGAGTCCACACCACATTAGAGGGCTCTAGAAAGTTACAAAAGGAGAAAACTGCTTGCCTGAACACATTAGAGGGCTCTATAACTCTACAAAAGGAGAAAATGGCTTTCCTGAACACATTGCAGGGCTCTAGAACATTACACAAGGAGAAAACAGATTGTTTGACAATTAAACAAAAAGGTTTAAATGCTTCTCAATGTGAATATATGGGCAGCATTAAAACAATTAGTGTATTAAAATAAAACAAAAACAAGGTTTCCAATATAAGCCTAACTTCTATATAAATAATTTATTTGGGAACAAAATGATTAATTTTATACCTCAAGTCCTTCCCAGAAAAGTGGTAAAACTATTGATTCTTAAAATACTCAACCTCTCACCTTGATTTTCTAAATATGCCTATTTGTGATGGAGGAACAACATAGTGATATAACTCTATTAAAATAATTAATGATTTAAAAGCTTATAAAGAACATATCCTGTACAAAACATTGCTACAGAGTTCCTGCTTCATGGAAGACTCTGCCAGACAGTCTGCAGGACATAGAGAAAAGTGACTAACAAACTGCCAATACAAGAAGACAGTTTAAAGTTTCCTGCTTTGCTGAAGAGTCTGCCAGACACACTATGGCCTTTGAACGGAAGATGGAAGATTGCAGAAGAACTTCGGGTGATTGACCAGGCAGTGAGTTGTCTCTGTCATTTCTAGAGTTTATATACTATCCTTCTGTGGTCTTTAAAGGAGTTGAAGACAGACAGTAATGGTTATAGTTTTCCTTAGTTAGGCTTAAAGATAAGTTACATATAGGACTTTAGACTCACAAAGATAAAATAGATGATGGAATATTTTCTTAAATCTTACTAAATGTTAATGGACTAAATATTGTTAACTGTGATTCTTATTTGATAACTGTTGTGTGATATATTTTGCTATGTTAAGGTTAAAACCCTTCTTTTTATTTAGACAGAAAAGAGGAGATGATGGAGATGTCATTCTGTAAATATGTTTCTCATACTGGTTTACGAATAAAGCACTGTTGGCCAATAGGAAAGCAAGACAGGCGGGACTAGGAGACAAGGATGATTTGAGGAAGTGGTAGGGAGGAGTCAGCATGTAGAGACTGGAGAGAGCAGGTGCCAGCCCCACTCTCTGTTAGATGAGACCATGTGGAAATACTTAGATTAACAGAAATGGGTTAATACTTAAGACAGAGCTAGCCGATAAGCAACAAGTAACTGGCCAACAGCGTTGTATCAAATACAGAGTCTCTCTGTGTTAATTGGGGCTGATGCGGCAATGTGACCAGGCTGGCAATGGGGCCGGCGACGGGGGGGGAGGGGGGGGGACGGAACTTCTGCTAACACATCTTACATAATAAGGACTGTGAGTGTGAATACACTCTTGACTTATAAAGCAAGAACTATATGTGGAGGATGCAGATAACTCTGTAACAGTGCCTGTTAGTACCGTGAACTCGAAGTCCAAAATGTGTGCTAGAAAATCCACACCATCTCCTACTAGACATTCACAGTTATCTATACTCCAATGGTACAGACATTTTCTACAGTGAAATACGAGGTTCACTGGTGGGTAGGAGATGTCATTCTGTAAATATGTTTCTCTTTTTGGTTAATGAATAAAGCACTGTTGGCAAATAGGAAAGCAAGATTGGCAGGACTAGGAGACAAGGAGGATTCTGGGAGATGTAGTAGGGAGATTCAAGATGTAGAGACTTGAGAGAGAAGAGGCCAGGACCCTTTCTCCGATTAATATGGTTTGATCAAGCAAGAGCCCCTAAAGCAGTGTCCCAAGTGATCCAACATTCAAAACAGCTGGGATAAGGCAGCCTTTCAGACCACTACAGCCAGGATTTCTGCATCTTCTTAGGATCCCCAAGACAGTGCCCCTTACCAGCAGGAAACAGTTTGGAAAGAACAATGCCCAAATTCCCAAATACTGTTTATAAATGTTTGTTTTCATTTATATGGAGTTGGTTATAAATAGTTAATGATCGCAACCAATCTCTTTTTAAAGGTAAAAAGGGGATTATGGTATAGAAATAAATACTTTGTTTTGAAATGAATTTTCACTTATTAATACAGATTTAAGGTCAATTTTGTGATATGTATATTTCTCTTCTTATTTATGTATTGTATTGATATAGCTCATTTAAAAATGTAATGTATAATTTAGTACAGATTATAGATAGTCACCTATAATAGTCAAAACTTAAGTTATTTAGGTTTTACCTATAATAGTCAAAACTTTAGTTAGTTAGGTTTTCTAGATATAAAGATGTATTTCCAATGGATAGGCATTCTTCAAACCTTTCAAAGACTATAGAATATGGCATCTAAAATGGTTTAGGGTGGTTTTTAAACAGTGAGGCACAACTGCTCCTGGCAGCACCACCTGCGTCAGAAAGGAAGATGGACATTGAAGAAACTTGTTATGGAGTTTACTTCCAACATGGCAAGACTAGCCATTTGGGCAAGATACTGCTCTTGTCTGGACTGTTTGGCTTTATGCTGTATAAATTGGACATTCAGGACCCACAAAAAAGTGACTGCTAAAACAAGATGGATAGTGCTACTGAGTTCCTGTTTCATAAAAGAGTCTGCCAGACAGTCTGCGGGACACAGAGAAAAGTGACTGACAAACTGCCAATACAAAAAGACAGTTTAAAGTTTCCTGCTTTGCTGAAGAGTCTGCCAGATAAAACATTACAGAAGAATTTTGGGTGACTGTCCAGGTAGCGAGATGTCTCTGTCACTTCTAGAGTTTATATATTATCCTTTGATGGAGTTGAAGACAGACAGTTATAGTTATAGTTTTCCTTAGTTAGGATTAAAGATAAGTTACATAAAAGACTTTAGACTCATAAAGATAGGATAGATGATGGAATATTTTCTTTAAATCTTGCTAAATGTTAATGGACTATAGTTTTTATTTGATAACTGTTTTGTTATATATGTTATTATGTTAAAGTTAAAACCCTTCTTTTTATTTAGACAGAAAAGAGATGATAGGAGATATTGTGTAAATACGTTTCTCTCATCGGTTAATGAATAAAGCACTGTTGGCAAATAGGAAAGCAAGATAGGTGGGACTAGGAGACAAGGAGGATTCTGGGAGATGTAGTAAGAGATTCAATATGTAGATATTTGAGAGAAGAGGTCCAATAAGAAAAGGCCATGTGGAAACACTTAGATTAATAGAAATGGGTTAATATTTAAGACAGAGCTAGCCAATAAGAAATGCTAGTAACAGGCCAACAGCATCATATATAATACAGTGTTTCTGTGTGTTATTTGGGGCTGACACAGCTGTGGGACCAGGTTGGTGGGAAAACTGCATGTAACATTTCATTTCAGTATGCATTTGAAAATACACTAAAAATCATTGCCTTCCTCTTTAGAATATTTAAAAATACAATGTGCATTTCAACAAACCTCCTGAATACCTATTGAATTTATAAAAGTCTTCTCAAAAGATGACTTCATACACAATAGGCAACGCCCAGGATAATTACAAAACAATCGGATTTACAAAAATCCAAGACACAGCTCTTTTCAAACTCCATGTCTGGGTCAGGCAAGCAAAATACTGCACTGAAATAAATATGAAAATGAAGATTGGACTTCTTTTGCAAATGGAAAAAAAAAATGGCCCAGAAATTGCCCCACACAAACTGATTCTGGCAAATAGACAAGGGTGTTCTTTTCACAAGAAACTAGGACAAGTGGCCATCCACACATGAAAAACAAACTAGATAAGGACCTTGTGTTTTTCACAAAAAATTAACTCCCAATGGACTACACAGCTGTATTAAAAGCACGAAATATAAAAGTCCTAGAAAATAACACAGGAGAAACCCTAGCAGATCCCAGCACTGATGGCTTTACTTAAGCAGCACAGTAAGCAAGATGATGAAAGGAAGAATTAGAAAGTTGGACTTCATCAAAACTAAAACTTTTGCCCCAAAGGACAGTGTTACAAAATAAATGGGTAAGTCACAACCTTTAAGAAAAATTTCTATAAAACATCTATTTTACAAAAGATCATTATGTAAAACACAGAACTCTCAAAAATCAACAAGAAAATAGCCCTACTTTTCAAATGGACAACAGATCTGAATAGATACTTCACCAAAGACTATAGAAAGGTGAAAAACAGACATGTCAAAAAACACCATCATCTTGTACCATCACCACATACAGCAGCCTCAGGACACCCAGGGGCTACAAAGTGAGACCCCCCATCTCCAAAAAACCAAACACCCCAAACACTGACAACAACAAATACTGGCAAAGACACAGGGTGACAGAAACTCTCCTTGCCCAGCCTCCAAAAAAAGGGAAAGGAAAAGTGAAAAACAAAAGCTAACTTAGGGACAGCAGTGAAAAGCCATGGCCACAGAAGTCTGACATGTGGCCTTGATCTCCAGATCCCACATCTGTGACAGGAGGACACCCAAGTCAAGATGGGACGTGGAGATGGGAGAGTCACCCAAAAGCTCCTGGGCCAGCTAGCCTGGAGTTAGAGAAGAAACAAGACACCTTGCCTGCCTCAAAAAAAAAAAAAAAAAAAAAAAAACTGGGTAAATGGAGAAAACTGACTCCCCAAACTGTCCTCTAAGCTCCCCATGTAAGGCCATGGTATGCACACCCCCATAGTAATACAATAATATTAAAAACTTTAAAAACCCTGCACA